TAATTACTGAACCACCAGTCGTATATCAGCCGTTTCTACCCGCAGTGAGAGCTAAATAGGCTCAGTTCTGCATTGATAGCTGTCCTGGTTGTTGAGGGTTGTCTTGGAGCTATAATAATGGTAGAGGGATGTCCTAGTGTTATCTTAATTTTAGTGGGTGGTCCTTATGTTATCTTAATAGGAGTTTTTCTTGGTGTTACACTAATGATAAAGAGTTGTACTATGGTTATCCTAGTGACCTAGTGGTAGAAAGTTTCCTGAAGTTATCTTGGTGGTAGGGGTTGTCCTGATGTTATCTTAGGTATTTGCGTGGTATAGGGTTGTCCCAGTGTTTTCCTAGTCGTAGAGAGTTATCCTTGCATTATCATAGTGTTAGAGGATTATACTGGTGTTATAGTGGTAAAGGATTGTCCTATTGTTAACAGTGTTATCCTTGTGGTAGAGGGTTCTCCTAATGTTATCCTATTGGTAGAGGGTTCTCCTAATGTTATCCTATTGGTAGAGGGTTCTAATGTTATCCTATTGGTGGAGGGTTTACCTAGTGTTTCTTAGATGTAGAGGTTTATCCTGATGTTATCCTAGTGCTGTATGGTTGTTATTGTTATCTGCTTATGTCTGCTACAGGATTGACCCAATGTTATCATAGTTATTGTCTGTTATACAGTATCTCTGTCATTTAGACAGTTATTCTCCCCAATAATTATATATAGTCATTCTCACTAGGAGATAGCTAACTATATTTTTAGTTTCATGCATATAGCTTTAAATTTCAAGTTTTCTGTTAACTTCTGTTCTGTGCTCCATTTAATAAACTTTGCAGTTTCATGGAGGTAATAAAAACATTACCCACTACTGTATTTGATTAGCGAGTTTTCTTTTCAGTTTTTACATGTAGATCTGTGCCTATTCATTGTATTACTTACTCACCCACTATTTTCATTACTTTGTATCTAGGTGTACAGCAAAAAGTGACAGTGATTACGTAGAGTTCAGTAACTTACCAACACAAGAGCTTCTTTCCCCCAGACGGTGTGGACGCTTTGCACCCAAGGTCAGACTCTAAAAGCTTGTATAAGACACAGACTAACCCCGTACACATTATTATATATTTTCTCCAAAAAATATCTTTAAAAAAAAATTTAAGACAATGTCACACAATGGACAAAGGATTTTGACAACCCTACTAAGAGAACACAAATAGCAGTGTTCATTTTGAAATTCATCTGACCCATTCATAAAGATACTTTTTGGAATGAGTCTATATATATATATATATATATATATATATATATATATATATATATATATATATATATATATATATATATGCTATTAACCACAAGAAGAAAAGAAAACACAGGGAACTTGGTAACAACTTTCTATGATTATCATATACATCTTGCACCTACAGTGTTTGCATATATATATATATATATATATATATATATATATATATATATATAATATACAAATCATCTCCTTTCAACATGAGCATACACTGTATGTAAACAGTTACCTTTGTACAGACCTGTAATACTATATACTGTACTTTACTCAAATTTTCATGTTTTCACATACATAATTCATATACTGTACTGTACATTGCTATGCAAATACAAAAGGTCCCCATTATAAGTGGTTTTGCATTTAAGTGGTCAAGAAATTGTGAAAATCCACAGGAAAGGTCCCCGAAGTTAAGAGGAGTTTAAGGCTGAAATCTGTTGATCTTTGAGAGCACAAGCGTTTGAGCGATTAAAATTGCTGCCCGCCTCCCATTCTCTTATGGTTTATTCTTCTCACCTGCACTATCCATGCTCAGTACCAGCCCCGTGTCCACAGGCATAGTTTTGAAGTACTCCGTGGACTATAAATACCAACTTTGTTGTGCTTTTTGTGACATTGGTGGACTATTTTTGTATGTGCATATATATATATATATATATATATATATATATATATATATATATATATATATATATATATATATATGTGTGTGTGTGTGTTTAAATACAGAAATCCATATCTAAAATTTCAGGTAGTAGAATCAGATGGTCCTTTCTTCCGGGTAACATTCCGGAGCAATCATAAACTTGATGGTAAGGGCTTTGCTGCCGCCTTCAAATTCCTGTCTAAAGATGACGATACCAGTCTTGTACAACCCCTTTCAGTTACAACAGCAGGTTTGTATTAACATTTTTACAAGTTACTCACAATTACACACGCTGCACTGTATTTTAATGACTGATAATAAGTAATTTAGTTTTTTCAGCAAAAATTTTGAAACCACTTTTAATCCTTAAACAATAGCCATCATCAGTAGATGTTAGTTGCAGGGATAGTGGCCAACATCAATGCATATTTCTTGATTATTGCATTCCAGCTTTTGGGCATATGGGAGCACATTAGGAAATCCTTAACCGCCATTTAATGGTTAAATAATATACTATACGTACACTTATATGTATTCTAAGAAATTTCTTGCATAAGGAACTGATTTGGTTCCCATTACTGTATTTTGCTCTTTGCTCGGCCTTTAATACAGATTACATGTACGTACAGTCAACAAAAAGCTATCTTCACCTCTGGATCTGATGAGTTTTGAAATGAACACTGATTCCTGTTGTTTCAGTAGGGTGGGTTTTCTCTACATTTATATGATTGCAAGATACATTTCTTCATGATTATGATACTGTATGTCTTTAGTACGTATAACACTTGGTTTTTTTTTAATAAAGCAAATAGATAGGAATAGATATATGAACTTTTTTTTTAAACAAAAACAATAGAATTTACTTGATTGTTTTACTCACATTATAAATTATTTCCACCTCAGGGGATGAGTTGCCATATAGGAATATAAGATAATTATTATGAGAGGCTTGATTGAAATACAATGTTGTCATGAGAACAACTAATGGTGGATCCACACCAACATAACAATACTGTACCAACATTTCAACAAGTTGGATAAAAGATGTCAACATTGTTGGAAAGACAGGTGAAAAAAATTACATAGTCCACACTAGTGGATTAGTGTTCCCAACACTAATGTTGCAAACATTTTCATGTAATTTTCACATTATTGATGACACAGTTGCCAACACATTACCAACATTGTTGCTTTGGTATAGATCCACCTTAATTACGAGGCCCGGTTGGCCGGGCTGGTGGCGTCCATGTCTCGGGGGCTAAATAGTGTCATCGAAGCAGGTTATGCCGACATCACATATTGATGGAAATAAAATCTATAAATATTGTTTCTCATTCCAATTAATAATTACCTAACTAACCATGAAACACATGAATCTGAAGCACTTATCTGCTCGTTAGCCGCTTGGGCGGTCGGTCACATCTCTGTTACACACTGTTGGGAAGTACTGAGCATGAACTGGATCTTGAATATATCAGAACCTGCTCCAGTGTTGGTTAAGTCTGGCCTTGAAACAGCTAACACTCGGTGCCGCCACAACACTGGCAGATTGTTCGAAGAGTTCACAATTTTCACTCCGAAAAAGTTTGCCCTCACAGTTTTCTGGATTCGTGACTTCTTCAACCTTGAGCTGTGACCCCTTGTGGGGTGGGTGTCCGCCAGCTCCAGGTATGTACAGTCGCTCAAAAAAATATCTGAAAAATATTGTTCTTGTCAATATGACACATCAGATGTATGTTTTGGGGAAATGGTAGAGGACCAGGCAACAGTGCCCAAACAACAGGAGTTGTATTGTTCGTTTTGACATCCATCGAACCCCACTTTTCAGATACCATTTTGAGCGACTGTATATTCCACAGAGTAGTGCCCTCTGAGATATTTGTACACTTCGATGAGAGACCCCCTTGCTGGTCTGTAGTATAAGCTAGGCAGTTGCAGGTGTTCTCTGGGTAGCTGAGGTTTCGTAGAGCAGGCACCAGTCTGGTGGCCCTTCTTTGGACATTTTCAACCATTTGGCAGTCTCTAGCATATCTGGGGGACCAGTTGGGGAAACACCTCACTCTTGAAGATTGTGACGAGCAACAAACCATCCAGATATCTAAATGACTTTCTTATAAGACATACTAGCTTCGTTGCTTGATTCAACTTCTTCTCGCAATGGCCCGAGAACTTCAACTCATTGTCAACATACACACCTAGGTCCTTTTCACATTCAGTATCAATTAAAGCAGTTTTTTTCGTCCCGTTGGGACTTATGATACGCCTCCTTAACGTTGGTATGTCCCAGGTGCAGCCTCTTACACTTCCTGACATTGAATCTTAGCAGCCATTTCTTCGACTATTCTTGAAGCTCAAAGATATCCTTCTGCAGCTCTTCCCTGTCTGCTTGGTTCTTAATTTCCCAAAATAACTTGGCATCATCCACAAACATTTGTATGGAGGAATGTACAGCGTCAGACATGTCATTTATGACGCAAACAAACAACAGCGGGCCCAATACACTGCCTTATCGTACCCCACTTGTGACAGGTACAGATGATGATTTTGTGCCATTAGTCACCACACACTGCTTGCGGTCATGGAGAAAGTCTCCGATCCACACTAGGACATTTCCCCGAATCCCGTACTCTTCCAGTTTAATTTTCGGCCTTTCATGGGGTAAGCAGTCGAAAGCCTTGGCAAAATCTAGGTATATAGTGTCGATATTACCACCCTGTTCCAGAATATGGGTCCAAACTTCCAGTACCTTGAGCAATTGTGTTAAGCAGGAGCGCCCCGGCATAAAACCGTGTTGGCAATCCAATACAAGGTTGTTTCGTAGTAGATGTTCTATCGTGGTATCTCTTATAATGCTCTCAAATACTTTACATACTATGCTGGTCAGGCTCACCGGTCTATAGTTATATAGTTATTCGTAGAGTGACGATCGCCCTTCTTGAAGATAGGATTCACATAAGCCATTTTCCAATCACTGGGGACATTTTGCTCATCCAGGCACTTACAGAACAAGATCTTTAGGGGATCAGCAAGCTCGTTGCACAACTCTCTGAGCACTTTGGGATGCACCTGTCAGGGCCGGGACTCTTCTGAACCTTTAGCTTTGACAGCTTATATCTTATAACCTCTTCTGTGAACACAATGTCGGTCAGTGCTGTGTCGAACCGTCTGTCCTCAAATGCAGGAAGATTGATTGCATCCTCTGTTGTGAACATCAACGAAAAGAAACTGTTCAATGCCTCAGCTTTGTCCTGGTCAGGTTCAAGCCTCAGGTCTGATACTCCTACCTGCATTTTTAATTTTGACTTTGCATAGCGATAAAACGCCTTTGAGTTTGACATGAATTCGCTTGCTGGAATTATTATAAGATAGTGATTAATTTGAATATAATCATGCTATAGTTTGCACAAGACAAAAATCTTAGTAATCCTTTAGTACATGTACAGTACAGCTTTGCCCTTAGGAGGGTGTAGCGTGCCCAGAGAAACATTGGGCGCGAATTTTAAAATATGATGCGCCAGCTTGACTCACGCAAAATAGGAAAGATTCGCTTAAAATTAAAACATTGTCCTTAATTGTGGGTGTCGCTTTAAATCAATAATCTTAAATTGAATTGCTTTAAATCGACGTTCTACTGTACATGACATTCAAGTCGGAATTTGTTCTCGGTAACGTCTCTGCTCTTGGTAGTAACTCCGGCTTCCCTCCATTCTCAGCAGTTACAGCATTTGCTAAAAAACACTGTATTTTGCAGGGTGTGGGTAGAAATGTCATTGTTTACATGGCACTCACCTCCTACTGGGTGGAAGTTAAAGCTGGTGCCTCCTCCTGGGTGAGAGGTAGAGTGGGATGAGGGTGTACCACTGCCCTCTGGCTCTGTGCTGGCAATCTTGCTTCCACTACCCTCCCCCTGGATATAACCCATGTACACCCATGTCTTTATTCAAGACATCTTCAGAGGCAACTGTTGCCTCTGAAGATGTCTTGAATAAAGACGAAAGCTAAGGTGCTCCATTGTTTCCCTTTTCCTGTGTGATTTTATCCAGATTTATCTTGTCCACGTTTCCATTGTGGATCTACATGAGACTGTATAGTTAAAGTAAAGAAATTAACAGGAATACATGGAAGACCTTAATGAAAAACAGATGCTATTATTTTATACTATGTTGCATTACCCACATAAGAAATGTCTTCCACCATAGGAAATGAGTTGCCGTATAGGATCTTATATACCTGTTCAAGTATTATGACATGAAGCAACGTTCCTGTAACCCCTCAGTATCATAACTTATATTTAACTTTAAGTAACATTATTGGATGAAATATATGACCTCATCCAAGAAGAAAAGCAATATAAATTACAGTACAGCCATCTCTCGATTTACACGGTACTGTAGTTACATTCTTGAGAATGGCTGTGTAAACCAAAAACATGTAAATCAAACTTAATTATCCCATAAGAAATAAAGGAAATGGCAGGGGTTAAGGGAAATGCTCCCTAAAAACTGTAATTTGTTTATCAATTTCCTTTAATATGTCTTATTTATAGTAGTACTGTATAATAACAATAATACAATAATAGAAGCAAAGCTAATAATACAGTAGTAAGAAAATAGATTTTAAATGAAAAATTGTGCTAACATTTACGTTGAATGGTGGCTGGGATGGCGTGCGGGAAATAGTGGTGGTGGAGGAGAGATGGGGGGGTACTGGGGGAGGGAGTCATCTGAATCAGATGACAGGGCAGGTGATGGGGGAGGAAAAGTGGGAGCTTTTGTGATGTCAGATGTCGATGGCTGAGGTTCAGGTGATGTTACTTTTTCTTTTTTCATAAAGTAGGAAAGCAATGAGATACTGAACTACGCTGTCTGGCGCAATGGCGCTCTTTTCAAAACCGTGCTATTTAAAAAACTTTGTGTTATTTTAAAAATAAGCTTTAAATTAATACTGGTGTTATATAAAAAAAAGTGCAAATTAAATCTGTGTAAATCGAGAGGTGACTGTACTATATTTTGTAAGCTACACAATATTTCACATCAAGGGTTGAGTAGCTGTAAAAAATTAAATGCTTTATGAAACAAGCTTACAAAACCTCTTTATTATACCACATGGTAAGAAATGAATTAAATTGGGATTAACTTTAAGTCATAATCATAAAACAAATACATTTACAATGTTGTTGAGCACAGTGTAGCAATGAATTTCACCAGACAGTATGTGTTGCCAAAATGGAATAATATACAGTATAATGAATCCGTTTAAAATGGAACAGGAACAGTTTCAGTCATTATATGACAAAAGACTCAGAGCGTTTGTCAGACTTCTTGGTCCGGTGTGTCATATTGTTCAGTACAGTATAACACTAGAAAGGTACAGATACATTTTTTGCTGACTGTACATACAATGGTCATTAATTCCTTAATTATCCAGAAGGCTGTTTCTATTTCTTCTTTTACCTTCATTACATCCAGTCCCCCCAGCACCATTCTTATTATGTAATGAGGATATTGTTAAAACCATATAAAAAATTTAAGATTCATAACAGAAATTTGTACCTTTACAGCCATGCTCAAAAAAGTGAATCTAACATTCTAGACAAGTAATTTTTAATGCTTATCCATAGCTTTGTGTTGCATACACACTATAAGTAAACACAATGATGATGTATTTTGCTAAATGGAATACCATAATAGGAATGCAGTCATAAATTATTATAAAGTTCCTCAATTTCAATAAAATGCAGATTATGTAACAAATCTTAACTATTTCAGGTGCAGTTTCTTGGACAACCCACACCATTGTGTGTGTGATACTAACCACAAATAACATTGCCATACAACTAGTTTTTTTACCTTAATTATATTCGTTTTTCTGTATGAAATTGTAAATAAATCATTGTTATTTATAGTAAAATTGACAAAATACACACTGTTTTTCAGTCATGTAAGAAAAGCTAAACAACGTGATTAAATTAACATCAATCATTGGAAACATAAGGTAATTGAAACAGAGACACTAGTAGGGCAAATATCATAGTACAAAAATACTGTACTATAATCAATGTAACTGCATCATTAGTAAAATAAAAAATACTGTCCAAATTCCAAACAATCAACAAAATTCCCGGGTGCTTTGCCAAAAAAATTTCTGTAATTTTCTTAGTTCCACCATTACATATCTTCACTACAACAACATCCAAACAAACTCCTCCTCCTCCATGGCTCCTTCATCCCAATCATCACTATTTTACCAAATTCCCCAAAATGGGATAAAAAGTTAAGGAATAAAATGAAACTAGTATGTGATCTTTTTCAAAGAAAGTGAATAGAGAGAAGCCTCTTTTTTTAAGTAATTCTAGTCCCAAATACTATGTTTTAGCTAACAAAATGAGTTCTTAAGTATGTCTCGGTTTCAGTTGCAGCAGTGGTTCTGGTGAAAATAATGAAAATAAATGTATTTTTTTTTATTTTAGTCACTGCCTGACAGAAACATGCATTCATGATTTTTTTCCACTCATTCTTATTATATGTTTTAGTAAAATCTAGAACCTTGGAAATCGGTTATCATATATGGGAGTCTCAGAAAACCATTACAGTACAGTGTACTGTACATTTGAAAAAAAAAAAATCACTTTACACACAATTAAACAGCCAGATTCACTTGTGGCAGTGCTTGTTCTCCAATTTTGTGGAATCGTATTATTGTCCTCGATAAAATGTCTAGCAGACTTCCAGGGTCAATGTTTACTAGTTCATAATGTGATTCAAATGCAGGTACTGTACATTATAATACTGAATATTTATTTATCAAACTTTCATGCAAAAGTAAATTTTAATTGTACAGCAGTGTTTCCCAACGTACAGAGGCCAGCCACATTTGCCAGAAGTGTAAGAGTTCATAGGTCGACCTTGATTTTTGACCAAGAAATCATTAATTTTTTTATATGCCTCGTGTATAGGTCGACCCAAGTTTTTGAGGGTAATGGAACAAATTAGGGTAATAAAGCACCATATTTTATGGCATATAAAACTCGTTTCAGAAAACCTTCACTAAAAACACACTACGTCCTATAAACTGAGGGTCGCTGTGCCTGAAACACCAAGCGCCGAAGGCAAATTGCTTACCATTTATTATTACGGCATTTTACACGGAAACATGGGTAGTTTCAGCAAAAATATTGTATATTTCCATTCAAGTATTTATTCAAGTCAATTAGGATAGAATATTATTGTAATACAACAGTTTTTTGAACTGAAACCATTCGAAAAGCGATTACGGTAATATCTTTTGAACAACGAAAGAAAGCGAAAGTCGATTGTTTTCGTCATGATTTTATCCCACTTTCCACTGTAATACGTACGTCATTTCAGCAAAAATATTACATTTCCGTGAATGTATTATATCAAGCACAGTATGAATAGAATATCATTGTAATATAACAGTATTTTAACCGAAAACTATTAAAAAAACGAGTAACATCTCTTGAACATCGGAAGGTTAGGTGAAGTCTTTTGTTTTCATCATGTATTTTATCCTATTTTACATTGAAATGCACCACGTTTCAGCAAAACTACTATTTATTCCTGAGAATATATTCATTCAGGTACGGTTAAGGTAAAATATACTTGTGATGTAACACTTTTATAACTGAAAACGATTAAAAAAACACTTACCGTCTAGCTAATACGGCAGAGCCCTGGTCGCGGAGGCTTTGCCTTTGCATCTGTCCCTTCTAAGCAGCCTTTAATATTACCATACGTTGAAATTGCATTTATATTTTTATTGCCTTGCTTCTTATTTTCCAGAAATATGACAAGTTTGTAAATAATACAATGTTACGGCACTTTTAATTTACAAGTATTCATTTTTAAAGTACAGAAGAGTGTTTGGCAACTGTGCCAACACTCAACAGCTGGTGGTGCATCATGCATCTTTGTAAACAATATGAGGTTGAGGTGGATTATTATATTAAGTGAGAAATATTGAAAAGGTTTTTATTACCGGTATTTTTTGTAGATCTATGGGTAATGTGTATATGATATGATAAATTAACCTGTGCTAAGAACTTCAACATAGACTACTGAAAGCACGTTGTAAGGTAAGTTAGCCTATTGTAAGTTGGTGAGCTTCATCTGCTGAAGGCACTGCACATCTTTTCATTACTAATTGGTACATATTTTACGTTTCCATTGTTTACTGGCAGTAACTGGTAAATATTTTTCATGTCTAAAGCTAAAAGTTGTTCCTAGCCATTCCCATCATGCACGGATTCAACCTAACAAAACTATTACCCATGTATTGGTCGACCCCCAATTTTTTGCCTAAAAATTTGGTCTTAAAAACTCGAACTATACACAAGTGTGTATATATATATATATATGTATATATATATATATATATATATATATATATATATATATATATATATATATATATATATATATATATATATATATATATATATATATATATATCAACAGTCCATATACACACGCTATCAAAAACAGGGAGGTACTACCGCCTGGAAAGATACTTCAGAAAGGTAAGGACATAGAAATTCAGAAAATACTATAATATATATGAAAAGAAATGAATTAAAAAAAAGAATATTGACTTGTAAAATATAAGCAGAGAAATATAAGATATATACTTAGACTGTAGAAATAAAGACACAGCATATGCAATTATTAATTATATACAGTACACCAGAAAAGATTAATATAAAAGATAAATATGAGCAAGAAATTAAGTAAATAAGAATATAAATATATTTAAAAAAAAGATTAAGTATGAAATAGTATTAAGTAAGGAAAGTCCGCCCCTTACACCAACACTTTTGCCCCAGGTGGAAGAGGTTGCCAAATTGGGGACAGGATGAAGTCAGTCTCAACAGGTTCTCCCTGCTCAAGAGACTGACCACTATGATTGGAGCCAGCCTCCTCATCCTGATCCTAGAATCCACTGAAAGCAGACTGACTAGGTAGAGGTTTTTGTAGTCTTCCTACTGCCTCATTATCTAGAAAATCCAATAACCTACTTTTCTTAACAGAAGCAGGCTTGTCTAATTGAGGATTAAGTCTCGTACCTAACACCAATAAATCTAAACTTTCTGCTAACTTGGGATCTTTCCATTCTTTTACATTTAGAAAATTGACTCTTCAAGGCCTTATTTTGTAGGGTTATGAGATATTTCTCCTACATCCTGTCTGAGTGCGAATCTCCAGGGGTCACCATTTGTGGGGTACGTGATAATGGTTCACACTCAGGATGGGATGGAGAAAGGAAACTCACAATGCGCTCTCTGTACATATATTGTATTAGATATACAATGCAGCTTGGTGCTGGAAAGTGGCAGCATGGTGTAGAGAGAGCTGGTTGGGGAGCATGCTCAGAGGAGGACATGCAGTTTGTGGGGCGCCATAGTCGCCGGCTAGAGCGAGAGCCACCAGGCAGGAGCAGAGGAGGTGTTGCTTGCTGGTGGCTGTAGGTAGAAGGAGATAGGTCAGTTCCAGTTTCAAGTTTCGAAGCTCCAAAAGTTGTTGGTAGCGAAAGGCAGAGCGGGGAAGATGACAGGAAGGAGCAGGAGGTTAGGAAGGGAATTGTAGTGGGAGAGATAGTGCCGTGGCTTTACACGACTGCGTTTATTTGGTTAGCGCATAGCGCACGTATTTGGTTTTTTGTCTGTAGGGTGTATGATCCTCGGGTCACCACTCCTCCGGATTGTGTCAGTTCAAGTTTAGAAGCTCCAACAACTTTCCCTGAATACGAATTCGCAACCTTTCGATTTACAACAGGTACCTACTTTACTGCTAGGTGAACAGGGACCAAGGGGGCTAGGAAGAGTGCCCAAACAACTTCCGCTTGCCCGGGAATCGAACCCGTGACATCTTGCTTGCGAGGCAAGAGTGGTACCGCTCCTACCACAAGCGCCCCTCAGATAGGTCACCACGAGGTGAGGTCTTTTATAGCGGAGGTAGGCGTGGCTTAATAGTTGACCTCAGTCATGTAAGGCGGCGCTGGTTGCTGACTTAGACCATGAGGCATACACTGGGGAATTCGAGGGTCGGCTAGTCAGCGACAAACGGCTTTTGTAGGGGAGGAATCCACTACAATTCCACCTATTATTAATTTGGATCCGCAATAATTCTTCCTTATCTCCTGCAGCTTGATTAAATTGAAAAATATGATCATAACAAACTGCACAATCCATTGGTGAAAACAGGTTGTCTGAGACACAGCTGCCATGAATTATGCAAGCCAAATGAGGATCTATCTTGGTAATCCAAGTGGCTCTACATCCTTGATAATTACAAGTAGTATGGTCCCCTTGGATCCTGGGTGAAACTACTACTACTGAATTCACATTCTCTACTGACGGACAATTCCTTGTATGTAGTCACGTAGGGTGGCCAGACGTCCGGCTTTTGAGCACTGTCCTCCGTCGGACGCTACCTCGAGCCGGACGTTAATTTGTCCTCCTTTTTGTTGTCTGACTAAAAAGAATTATATAAATTACCTTAGGTATACTTAAAACAGCGGGAACCGAAGGCCATAATAACTGTTAACGTATTTTTATTATATGTAGTTGCCGTTGTCAACACTGCTGAGGAGCCGCAGTGTACGACAGTACGAGTCAAGTTGTCAACACGCACGTCCGAGATGGTCAATCTGCCCCAGGCCGCAGTGGATAGTGGTTGACTTTTTTGTTCTTGCTGTTTCAGGTGGAGTAAAAATTAATATTCATTTCTTTCAATTATTTATTCATACTGTGTGAATGCATGTATGTAATATATACAGTGGATTCCCCCAAAAAATGAAATTTAAGAAAAATTACCACAAAATAGCATTCATCACATTATACTAGTGATATTTGACAAATCAACAATTCTTCTAAGTATATTTTGTATATTCTATACAACTTTTTATATATTTTCAACTCATCATTAAACATGCTTAATTTAGGTTAAAATATAGTTGTCGCGAAAACAATAGAAAAAAATTTCCTCCTTTTTGGAAATTTGGAAATGGCCACCCTAGTTGAACTTTCTAGTCCTTGTAGCTCATCACTCAACACTTGTTCCCCAGGTACAGTTCCATAGTCTCTTCCATCATCCATCAGTCCAGACAACTGTCCTTCATCCTCCAGTTGCACATCACTCATCTAAACTAGGAGGAACACTGAGTCACATTGTATCATTATAATAATATAAGGGAGATTACATTTTCTCCCAAACCTTAAACAATATGACTCGTAACTTATATTTTAGAAAGTTAATTCATTAAGATCTCTTATTGTTATATAAGTCACCAGTTTGACTTTGACAATCATAAACAATTAACTCACTATGTCGTACCCCCTCTCCCCTCTCTTATCTCAAGTATCCCTCAGCTCAATGAACTTTTATTTCTTAATCAAACTAACTTCATTTAGAGCATTTTTATTTTGAGGGATCATCAAGTTCTCTATTTGTTGCCAATCAGTGGCACAGACATTATCGCCTCAATTAATTAGCTTGAGCGAAGATGCCTGACTGAGCATCATCACCCGACAGGGTTGACGGTGCTGAGCTGCTACCATAGCGCTTCATTGGCAACATCGTTCACTATTACTCTAGCAATATGTATTGGGTTGAGAATTCCACCCTGAATGGTTCTCATATAACCCATATTAAGGATGCAAGGTCCATCCCAACATAACTCTAGATTGCTAGTAAGACCGGGAGGTCAACATTCCGGAAGGAACACTCAGGATAGCAGCCTCGCTAAAGTTCGCCTGGAAAGGCTGATCCCGCTACTGAGGACATCAATAAAACAGAGTTATGAAGAGAAAAACTCAACTCTGGCCTACATGCTGAGAGTAATTAGAGAATCCAGCTCCTTTTGATGTATTTATCAATAAAAGTTTTGAATTTGAGTGATGTTGACGGCCAATATGAAGGAGTCTTGTCAATTAAGAATTTGTGCCTATTAGTTTCATGTATAGTAAAAAAAAAAAAAAAGCCTTATAGAATTCAACTATTAAAAAAAATCTGTCAAATATCTAATTATGGCCAGAGATGAATTTATTTATTTTTAACGTAGACGAAGATTTTCATTTGACTGTCTGGTTTGGCGGTTGGCGCACATTTCAGGCAAGGAGAGAGCTTGAGGGGCCGGCGTCTTAAAGCATTCTATCTTTTCTTCATTTATCCTGAGGTTTGCAACTCATCAATATGAAGTAAGTGCCGATTTACACATTTTGGTCACCTTAAATGTGCACATTGACCAATAGATCATTTGTTTCGCAGAATATGTCAAGGCAAATACCTCTACTTGACAATGTTAGTGCTTTTATGTTTTATTGTGATAAATGGACTCGACTTACCTTGGAACGATTTTTATGTACAACAATAATTACACTTAACAATGCTCTTGGAATCTTCTATACTTTGAGAAAATCGCACTACATTTTTGGAAAATCGACGAATTTGTTTAGTTATGGTTGATGTTAACATCACTGAGAGCTCTTGTGTTCGTCTGTTGGGAATTGCGCTGAATTACTCATGCGCTAAGCTGAAAAATGCGCATTTGTTCTTTGCACGTTTCTGACACATTCATTGGTGGGTATGATTTTGGATAAACCAATCGGCACGGTATAGGTCCCTCGCCGCGACCCCCTTGAATTTATTTCCTTGTGCAATGGCTGTGATGTCGATTACTTCCAAGCAATCGCAAGATTTCACGTTGAGTAATACGGTAGGGACGGTGAGGCCTTGAAATTTCTCCAGGAACACGGTGTGCTGCCAATTGAGGTTAAATGCACGAACTGTAACCAGCTCTAGCTAACAAGCTGACAAACGCCTTTGGTACTGTGGAAGGAGAATTGCCGTCCGGAAGTCGAAAAAATTGAAGTGTAATTGTAAATGTCACACTTTAGTATAAAGGAACATTTTTAGGACGACCCCGATGACCCCAACTCAGTCATCCGAGTCTAATTACGTTAAGCACTACTGATTCCAAAACTTAAAATCGTAAAAATCGCTGGATAACCGCAATGCTAATTGTACATAGGTAAGGTTAAGTTTGGAGTAATTAGCGGTAGAAATGGTCAGATTCTTTCAAAACACGTCAAAAACATCGATAAAACATTTTTTTTCGATTTTCTAAAAACCTATCTCGATTAACCCTTTCGCCGCGTTTCACGCACTTACCATTCTATTCTGGCTACCACTAGACGTAGTTACCATTTACGACATTTTGAAGTATCAGTGGGGAGCGAGACCCCTCCCCCCCCATGAAAATTCAAATAAGAACATATCGTACACACACCTGTTAAAGCCATTCCTTATTTTTGCTCTAGGTCCCTCCCCCCCCTGGAAATTACCCAGGCCTCCTTAGAGGGGCGTGCTCCCCCGGTTAAGAACCGCTGTTCTAGACTCTAGAACAGCAGGATAAAAGTAAAAAGTAAAAAAAGAGCTTGCTCAGTAGAACGTGTCTACTCCCACTTTGTGGCAGGTGGAAGAGGGTTGTGTCGCGCTTCAATGCCAATTTAGGTTAAATAATATTGCCATATCAGTGAATATATGTAAATTAGGTATATGGTTTAGTGAATGATTCGTGAAAACTTGTTCCAATTAAAATGCGCAAAGGCCTAACATAATTATGTTATGTTGTGAAATGTACAGAGAATTATTTCCACAATGAAAATAAATCAGGGTATACGAACGTTTCTTACACTTATGTTTAGTTAAGAATTACTAAATTATTTTCGTAATGAATAAACAAACATCAGTCTAGATTTAATAAGGTTTCCATACCAGTGTATGTTCGGTTTTTACTTACCGTAGGTAAATGACCAACATTTCCTGAGGTGATATGAATTTCCTTTAACAGTAATGTATCGTTTTCCTTGCCGTAATTTCCAGTTAATAACAAAACGTCTTTGAATGGAGCGTGGGATCATTAAAATATTTGGTTAATATTCGTTTTTATCCTAATAGGTATTTGGGATTTTTATTTATTTATTTATTTTTATTTTTTTATTTTTTTATCATCTCTAGGATTCTTTTTTAGTTACAAATCGATTTTCATCTATGACAATAGTAGCTTACGTTAGGTTAGGTCTCCCGGTTAATATTCGTTTTTTTTCTCTGGATAAAGAACGAATTTTTGTCAAGTATTATTTGAATTTGCCCTCCTCGAGGGAAAGCTGTACTAGGTGAAGGTGCTCACCAAATTTTTGTCTTGGCGTATTTGTTTTGTGTACCCATTTATTTTTCCTGGATAGTCCCAGTGTCAGCAGTAGAATTTTCTCATGTGAATCATCACACCACGTATAGTATAGCGTGTGTAGTGTGGCTCGCCTAACTTCTGATGTAAGGCGGCCTTGTAAAGTTTACCGATGGCCAGTACTGTACAAAATTTAGGCCCGCTTCACACAAGCGGTTTCCCGCACAGTTTAGAAATCAATGAAGTTCAATGGGAATGTGAGCTGGAAAATTCAGGCGTAGATGCTCACCCCCATGCCTGTACTTATAAACCACAGCGTGAAAAAGCGTCGAGTGTTCAAGAATTTTTCATGTCATTGGAGTACTGTACTTCAGAGAGCATGATTCAATGTGTGCGGCCGAGCAGGGGCCCCACATTTTTGGGGCATCCAACTTTAAATATAGAAAGTTTGGTTATTTTATTTCATTTTTATATATATATATATTTTTCACTGGCTAATTATTTTTTCTGTTAGCAGATCTGACTTTCTGGCCCATTTACACAATTGCAAGGCTCAATTTTTCTCTAACTTTAATATCACAACATACATATTATCGTTTCTTACTCTTGAAATTTTTTATGGTTCTTTATCATTATTATTATTATTATAATTATTATTATTGTATTTAATTTAATTTTTTATAATAATTATTATTTTTATTATTATTATTTTATAATAATAATAATAATAATAATAATAATAATAATAATAATAATAATAATAATAATAATATTTTCGCCCCCCAGGCCCTGATATAGGCCAGTGACCTGTGCCCGAGTGGGCACGTTAATACAGTAATTCACCTTTCGACATTACAGTAATTCCAAATTAATGACTCCAAGAATGTGGAAAGGTAACCTAACCTATATTTAAAGTCCAAATAGCAAAATATTAACTTAATAGTAACTGGTGGGGATGTTAAAACGAATCTTAACCAATAATGCTCGACTATTTTATTATAATCACTTGGCTTTAACAATGCAGTCCATGATTAACCGCATGTGTGTTCTTACTCCTACTTGACGGCTTTGAATATTGTACTATTCAGAATCACTGACAAGATAAAATTTTCTTAGATTGATCAAATTTATTGTTAAAAGTGAAAGGTTAACAAAAGATTTTTTGTTAATTTAATATATTTTTCTTTCTTCCAGGGTGCTGTTCTTGGTGGCTGTGAGTTGCTTATTGGTGGGGGACACCCAGGTGGATGGTTTGACTAACCCCATGGATCTAAAAAATTTGTCAGTTGAAACTGTGGATAAAGATATACTGGGGGTAGCCAAAACCCTCCAGAAAAACTTAGGATCATACAAAAGGTGAGTCCTTAGTTAGGAAATCCTTCACAATATTTCACCTCTATTTGCATATACAATATTCTGTACTGTACAGCACAGTATAGAGTCAAGGTGGACCGTATTTTTCTTAGTACAGATAGTTACCCAATTGTTGGATGCTTACCTGTGCATAATACTAGGTTGCTTAATGCGAAACTATTTGTATGAAAGTGTGCCAAGTGAACTTTGTAAGAATTTTCACGTACAGTATTTTAGTTAAATTTGTACAGGGTAATCACCACCGATATATGGCACTTTACCACACTGCGTGGGTTAGCTATGATTAAACTATTGGCAGCACTCCATGGAGTCCAGTCTCGTGCATATTGCTGAGGTAATTTCTTACGGTTTTATATCAGTTCCACCCCCTAGCAACTGAACCCCGGTCAACTCAACTCATAAATTCGACTAGCATGGATATAGCGGTTAAACATAAATAAATCGTGTTATATTAGCACTGGAAGCCACCAGTCCCAGTCCTGAAATGCAGACCTTTTTATTTTTTATTTGGAAGTGACTATGTAAACAGAAATTCCCAGCTGGGTAGATTGGAGGCTAAATAGCTAGGGTGTTAAGCTAGGTTGGAAAAGTCATTTATCTTGATTTGTGAGAGTCGTTAGATTTAGTTTCTTAAGTTCTTTTGGTTTTTCCTTTTTGGTTACGTTAGGTTTGGTAAAAAAAAATCCTCCCATCATTTATGGGCTGTTCCTGAGAAACTGAAGAATTCCTCTATTAAAAAGTTTTCTAATGTTGCACGTTACTACTAAGTAACTTGTTTTAGAATAGTTACAGTAGGTTACGTTGGTAATTGTGAAATGTAAGAATAGCCAACACGGCCAAACCAAATGACTCGTATATCAGAATATATAACTTTTTCAACCAAACTTAACATCTCGGTGACATAGTTTCCAGTCTACCCTGCCGGGAATTCCCGGGTAAGCAACCAACTTCTTTTGTGTGTGCACATAGTACAGTATTTTTTTTTTTTTTTTTTTTTTTTTTTTTTTTTTTTTTTTTTTTTTTTTTTTTTTTTATACTGTATATCATACAGTAGTGCTTGTTATTGGATATGAGTAATTGCTCTTAGACATCAAAGTTTGTCTGGTTCATTTTCGTAGGTTACAGATTTTGAAGCAAGGCGGTTGGCCAATTTATATACTGTACTGTACTTGCTTCTTGATATCCTTAAGTTCTAAACTTAATCAATTTGTACAGGCATTTTTTATTTTATTTTTTCTCACCAGGTCACAAGTCAATGACCCACATAAGGGCCTGGGGAGCGAAAATATAATAATAATAATAGTTAATAAGAATATTAAAAATATAATAATACTAAAGGACCATAAAAGATACAAAAAAAAGTGAGACACGATATATGTACAGTATGTTGTGTTTTGAAAGTAAGAGAAACAATTGAAACCCTGCAGTTGTGTGTAAATGAGGCAGAAAGTCAGATCAACAACCTGGGATACGGTCAAAAAATTTTATGGTGCCATATGGCAGCAGGGCCTACCATTAGACAATACATTATGTTTCCAATATCTTCCCAGGCGGTAGTACCTCCCTGTTTGATAGCTGCCTACTACCCAAAAAAGGGCCACCAAATTGGTGTGTGCAATTAAGACCTCATACCAAGAGTAGTTAGAACGCCTTCAACTGCATAGTTTATATTTTAACACGGGCAAGAATTATTTAACAAGTTTATATGCACCTCAACTGCCTGAGCTACAAGAGGTCACAGCCTAAAGTTAAAAAAGTCACAGGTACAGTAAATTATCCGATCTAACCTCTTAGTTGAGCAAGAATTGTGAACCCTTGGAATAACCCGCAATAGAAAGCAGTGACGGCACCGAGTGTGAATGCAGGTACAGTACTGTATGTTCAAGTGTACGTGTATGCCCAATGCTTACCAACAGTGCATAACCGAGAATTGACCGGATGGAGATGATCTGTCGCGAAAAGGATTAAGTAGGTAATGTAAGAAGGTAGCTAGATATTTCGGGAATTTGTGAGATTTTGCGGAGAGGTAGGCTGAGATGGTTCGGGCATATGGAGAGAATGGAAGACGGTGATTGGGTCAAGATATGGATGAGTGAATGTGGAAAGAGATCTAGGAATAGGCCAAAAATGACAAGAGGAGAGCTTGTGGAAAATTAGTGACGAGTGAGCTACCATCAGATAATTATGGCTAATTCACACAAGCATGGCAACAGTTACACTGGTGTCGAAGGAAATTTGGTCGCTGATATGCATTGTAAATTAAGCAAAAACAAGTTACATCCATTTACAATGGAACATTTGGTCGAAACTATTACTTGGGATAAAAATGGACTTATCAACCCTTCTTTACGTGGATTTATTTCATCAAGGATCACATAAGAAACTTATGCTCACACGCCTTATGTGCACCGTATACTGTACCTACATTGTCTATTTGCTGAACTATATACCTATGTACCTGCATAGTTTATATACATGCCTATCTAATTGTAAACCTGTATGACACTTTTACAGGAAGAATATTATCTATTTTTAAGGGTTTTGTCGGAGATACTGCGTTTCGGACAATAAATAATTTCAAGGTAGGTGCAATGTGGAGAAAAGTGCGGTACTGTAGTCAATAGTATCAAGTTGGAATGCGTGTGTGCGCACAGGAATACCTGTAGTTACTTAATGCTGTTTTTTGTACGCTGTTGAATTAGTCACTATAGTGTTTGTGTATGGTAAGAAACTGCTATACTGTGACTGGTGTTTGTGTATGGTGAGAACCTACTGTGACTTGGTGGTGTTTGTGTATGGTGAGATTCTTATGTGACTTTTTTCTTTTCTTTGTTTTTACACCAAATATAATTTAACAAGGAACTACTCTGGACAACCAAATCCAACCTAAGAAAGCCTAATGTAAGTTAAGCCTAACCTGACCTACACCAAACCAATATTTACTTTACCTAAGTTACCCAAACCAGAATTAGCCAATTCTGGCCCAACCTAACCTAGCCTGAACAAAACAAATCTTACTTAACCTAATCAAACCAATTACAATGTAATATAATTGAATATAACCTGATCTAGCCCGATTTAATTTAACAAAGCTAAATTTGACAACCAAACCAAACCTAAGCTTAAAAAAAATCTTGTCTAACTGATTCTAAACAAATATGATGCTATCTTGTTCGTTAACTACATATTGGTTGGGGATTCATTGATTTTCATATATTGAAGAACCAGTAAGCAGCGATGAACATGAATAGTGGAATAGTGTCGCTTGATTTTTGCATATGGACTTTCACCTTTTACTTTTATCCTCTTCACCATTTATCGGCTCGTTAGCCGCTTGGGCGATCGGTCACGTCTCTGTCATGCACTGTTGGCAAGTACTAGTCATGTACAGGCTCTGTTATGCACTGTTGGCAGGTACTGGGCATGCACTAGCTCCTGAATGTACCTGAACCTGCTCCAGTGTTGGTCAAGTCTGGTCTTGAAAGAACTCTCACTCGGTGCCGTCACAACAGTTTCTGGCAGATTGTTCCAAGAGTTCACAACTCTCACTCCAAAAAAGTTTGCCCTCACAGTTTTCTGGACTTGCGGCTTCTTCAATCTTGAGCTGTGACCCCTTGTGGGGCGAGCATCCGCCAGCTCCAAGTAAGGACACTCGACATAGTAGTGCCCCTTGAGATGCTTATACACCTCAATTAGGTTGCTCCTTGCCTATGGATGAAGCTGCTGCTAGTTCAGACAGGTAAACCAGACAGATTTTAAGTGCTCTGTTGTGAAAGGGGAATAACAAACCAGAATACTTTTCATTCATCAGTAAGCATAAGGAATGACAACAAATGAAAAAAGAATGTGTGTGTGTTTGGATTCCAGCCACATAATTTGGGTAGGAAAATAATTGAAAATGGGAAAATTAATGTTTGTATACCACGTTTAAATTACCATACCAAGTTCTCCATGTGTGTACTGTATGTACCATTTTTTCACAATTACAGATCTGAAGATCTTGCTGAAAGTACCAAAGATAGCACCATTGAACCTGCTGAAGAAAATATAGCTGGGGAAGATGAATTACAGCGGAAGGATGTCACACCGAGGTCTGATGAAGATGACAATTCTGACTACTCTTTATCTTCTGATGGTGACAAAGATGATGATGCTGATAACACATATGATGACTCTTATGAAAGTGATACATATGATGATTCTTCTTCATCTGATGATGATGACTCTTATGAAAGTGATACATATGACGATTCTTCTTCATCTGATGATGATGACTCTTATGGTGATGCAATTGATATTTCTTCATCTGATGATGATGACAAAGATGAGGTTGATAACACATATGACGACTCTTATGAAGGTGATACATATGACGATTCTTCTTCATCTGATGATGATGACTCTTATGGTGATGCAATTGATATTTCTTCATCTGATGATGATGACAAAGATGAGGTTGATAACACATATGACGACTCTTATGAAGGTGATACATATGACGATTCTTCTTCATCTGATGATGACAAAGATGATGCTTATAAGACATATGACTCTTATGAAGGTGATGCACATAACGTTTCTTCAGCTTCTGATGACTCTTCTGGTGATACATGTGGCATTTCTTCATCTTCTGATGATGACTCATATGGTAATACTTATGGCGATTCTTCATCTTCTGATGATGAAGTCTAACATGATGACAACATATTTGGCTACTCTTCTTTAACTTCTGATGAAAATTAAGACAAAGATGGTGACATCTGACTACTGTACTTTTATCTTATGAAGACAAAGATGGTGAGGTTGATAACACATCGTGTGACTTATGAAGGTGACGTCTGACTATTCTTATTTATTTTCTGATAAAATGAAGACAAAGATGATGACTAACCATATTCTGATCATGACATATTGGGAGTTTGATAAGGATAACGACAGGGGAACCTATTGAATTTAACACCTTAGGAGTGTGCTGAAGACACTGGGAGCAGCTTAGATATCACCACAGCTTGTCCACCCATGATGACAATGAAATTAGCTGAAAGTGACACTTTTGGGTCTCGGGAAGGTTGTAGTACATGCAATACCCATGAACTGAGATACCTACAGCAGCTATTGGTGATTTGGAGGTAAAGATGACACCATTTCCTTACTGTGGACTCTTAAAATGATTGTGTCATTGGTCTTCCACTTGTATCATTGGTATGGAGGACCATAAAAACACTGGTACTTTTTTACTAATTGATAATTTAGATTTTATATTAAAAGGACTCATATTTATTAGCAGGTTTGTAACACTTCAGTTTTTAAGAACTCTTGTGGATAAATGTGTTTCCTAAACATCCCAGCAGTTATTTGGATAAGCAGCTTGATGTGCTTTTAAAGTGCATGCTTTAATGTATATGAGGAGACCTGTTTTAACTTTTTTTTATTAAAATTCCATTTTTAACATTTTTGGGATTTGTAGATTTTCTTTCGGCTGTACAGTATGAGGTAACTCAAAGAGTAGACTGAAGTATTTTTGGTTGAAGTCATTAATTCATGAAAGTACTTGAAAATGTGATGGAAAGTTTATACAATCCTAAAAAGCATCACATATATTCCAAACTTATTTACGAAAAAGAAGATAAATAAAACAAACGGACCTTTTCGACATGTACAGAAATGGGTTAAGATAGCAGCTAACTGTATTCAAGTTGCATCTCATTACAATCAGTCGTATCTATAATGCTGATTAAACATGTGGAACAGAATATTTGTTATGGAACTGTTTGTGCTATAGGTATTTGGCTAACTTTATGGTTAAGTGGTCATATAAGGAGTTGAAGGTTGACAAAATATTGTTTTTGGAACCTGTGTAAAGTAGACGTTCATAGTGTGTCTAGGGGCTAAAAAATTAAGTCATGCCAATTTATTTAAGTACAAAAGTTAGGTGCTTTTTGATAGACAAATATCACCAGAATGGTGCTTTATATTTACATTCAAGTGTTTAAATTTGGCATGCCACTTATTTTTAAGCCCAATTTTACACAACGTTTTGGCGTATGTACTATAAACTAATTTTGAACCTCTGAACTAAACCCTAAAAACTTTAGTAAAATAGCATGCATGAGTTACCACTTTTACATTACCCAGTTTAAATAGCTTTTAAACTGATTTCTTTCGTGTTTATATGATCAGTGGGTCGTTATTAATTCTAATGTTAATACAGTATATTGTTAAAATCGTGCTGCGAAGCGAGGATGGAAGTTACTAAAGTGGATGCTTGCGTTCCCATTCACTTAAAGCTACAGAAATGCTGACCATTGTAGTTTTCATTGATCTTCACTACTGCTTAATATTTGATTCACTTGACTAGTTTTACGAAATTTAAAAAATTCTTAAAGTACTAGGTTACCTTAACACCAATGTTGCTATTATTGAGGAGGATGCAGTTTATATAAAAGCCAAGGGTACAGAGAGGTTCATTGTATCCAGTGCTGCTAGCATTACAAAGGAAGCAATTTAAATGATAGCAGCACTTGATACAATGAACCATGACACAGGAAATAAAAGTATCTTATTTTTACTTTTAATATCTGGTAAACTACTTAATGTATCTACTGTAAGGGATTGCCTTTTATTTTGTTGAATATGGAATGTACATTGAAATTGCAAGTGTAGTACAAAACATGCCTGTCATTAGTACAAATTAATAAAAGTCTGATTAAAGCTTTGCATTTTTATGTAATCCACAAAAGCCTGACTTAATATATAACACTCACAGTACAGTAATAATTGATTGATTGTGGTAATAACATGTACAGTAATAAGTTAAAAGTAAAATTAGTGTTTTGATGCCCTGTGAATGGTATTTGGCATACTGTACAGTACAAACATTCAAAACATCTTTCATAAAATTCTGCCATAGAAATTCAACTTAGTTTTAAAATATTGTTAAAACATCTCAACCACGTGGAAAAGAAACAACCTATAGTTTGAGTGGCAAAAGTTTCTGTGCCAAGAAAAAGTAACTGGAGAAGATTTGGTTCTCCGTTTAGCACTGGTATTGTGCATTTGTAAAATATTGGCCGTGTGAGTATTGCCAGTCCTAAGAACAGCTATCTGACCTCGTACTGCATTAGCACAGTAGAGCAAGATTACACTACCTCCTTTGAGCCTTGGAGGTTCGACCCTCAGGGCCTCAGCCCAGACTACTGCCTGTGAAAATACAATACGTATTGCATTTACTCAACGTGACGCATACGAGACGCTCATTTGAAAAATATACATGTATCAAGAGCGATTAGAACGTATAAAACTCTTGTTTATACTAAGGGCAAGGGACGATTTAGTAGTTCATAAGCACATCAAAGAGCACTACGTTACTCAAGTCAAATGTTCATATCTGGAGTTTTCAGTATAGAAATCTCATTCAACTTAGGAGTAAGAGTAATGAATTATCATAACCAGCCAGAGAATGTTGTGGTGTAACAGTGGGAAAACCCCTTAAAAGTGAGGTATGCTATAACGAACGGATCCTACTACGAATATTCCTATAACGAACGGTTTTACCTATAAAATTGAGAATGCTATAACGAACGGAACTCCTACAACGAACACGGATGAATACGGGACTATTTCGCCTGGCACATGAATATTGTTGTACCGTGACCCACAACAAGAGCGTCAAGCGCCATCTTTGTCTCATTGTGTAGCCAGTGCACCAATGTTATTGTTGAAATTTCGTCTTTTGATGTGGAAATAGAGTTATTTGTATAAATATTTTGTTATACAAGTGTACAATTGTGACAATGAATCATCCAAAGCAAGTGAGAAAGCTCATAACTCTTGAAACTAAGAAAGAAATCATAAAGAAACGTGAGGATGGAACAAGCATTGCGAAACTTAGTGATGAGTATGGGATGGCTAAATCGACTATATGTACGATTTTAAAGAATAAAGAGTTGAAAACAGTGCAAGTGGCTAAGGGAATCTCTAGACTTAGCAAAGCAAGGTGTAATGTGATTGAGGAGATGGAAAATTTACTCTGAGTATGGATAAGGGAGAAAGAAATGGCAGGTGATAACATTAGTGAAGCTATAATTTGTGAGAAGGCCAGACAATTGTTTGAGGACCTTAAAGCCAAGACTCCCAGTGCAAGTGATAGTGATGTGCCAGTGTTTAGGGGTACCAAGGGGTGGTTTCCTGGTTTCAGAAGGAGAAATAAAATACATAGTGTTGTGAGACATGGTGATGCTGCTAGTGCAGATAAGGAAGCAGCTAAGGAACACCATGACATTTTTTTGAATATTATTAAAGAGGGAGGCTTTGTTTCTGAGCAGGTATTCAACTGTGATGAAACTGGACTTTTTTGGAAAAAAATGCCTCGCCGTACATATATTACCAAGGAGGAAACTTCTGTCCCTGGCCATAAGCCAATCAAAGACAGGCTTACCCTCCTTTGTGCTAATGCTTCTGGTGACTGCAAAATAAAGCCACTCCTTGTGGACCACGCAGAAAACCCAAGAGCTTTCAAAAAAATTAGGAAGACCCGCCTTGGTGTTATGTGGCGGTCAAACCCAAAGGCTTGGGTGACCAGGAATTTATTCTCTGAGTGGGTGATTGAGGTGTTTGGACCCAGTGTTCGGGAATACCTCAGGGAGAATAATCTTCCACTGAAAGCTTTGTTGGTGATGGACAATGCACCAGCCCACCCTCCTAATTTGATGGTTGAATTGCCAGAGGAGTTCAACTTCATCACTGTGCACTTCTTGCCACCCAACACAACACCTCTCATCCAGCCCATGGATCAACAGGTAATTTCTAACTTTAAGAAGCTGTACACAAAGGCATTGTTTAGAAAATGTTTTGCGTCCACTTCCAGTGATGTTAGCTTGAAGGAATTTTGGAAGAGTCACTTCAATATAGCAGACGCTGTTTTTTTAATTACCTCAGCCTGGAAAGAGGTTACTGTGAGGTGTCTTTTTGCTGCTTGGAGGCCATTGTGGCCTGAATGTGTCCTTCAAAGAGACTTTGAAGGCTTCGAAGAGTTAGAAGAAGAGGCTGTTGTTCATGAAATTGTGTCTCTGGGCAATTCCATGGGTCTGGAAGTGGATGATGATGATGTTGAGGGGTTGGTGGAAGAGCACAGTAAGGAACTGTCCACTGAGGAGCTGCTTGAGCTTCACAAAGAGGAAAATGAAACACTGAAGCGGAGCTTAACTTCTGAGGAGTCAGGGGAGGAGGAGGACAAGGAGGAAAGCCGCATCATTCCAGCCAAAGATCTCAAGGATGCATTCTTTTGCTGGAGCAAACTGTCCAAACTTGCTGAGGATTATCATCCTGATGTTGGTTCTGTGCAAAAGGCCATGAGTGTGTTTAATGACAATGTTATGAACTACTTTTGGAAGGTCCAGAAATCAAGGTTGAAGCAGCCAACCCTGGATTCCTTCTTTACAAAGGTAACAAAAGAACCTACAGACAAAGTGCCTGTGGGACAGTCACCAAAGAGGGCTAGGAAGGATGACTCCTCTCCTTCCACCTCTTCTCCATAATTCTCTCCTCCCCCCTCCCCCTCTGTCTCCTGTCCTGCATGCTGAACAACACTAAGGTAAGATAAAATACCGTATTTTTTACATTTTCCACAGAATTTTTTCAGTGTTATGTGGTTGTATTTGGGGGCCTGGAACGGATTAATCCTATAACAAACGAATGCTATAGCGAACGAGGTTCTGGAACCAATTAGATTCGTTATAGCATACCCTACTGTACTCTCCCTGTCTTAACTCTGACCTGTGGTAGCATGGCTCAAGGGTAAGACCCATGGAGGACCCGTGGAACTGTAATAATGGTACAGAGTACCAAGATATGGGGAAGAAAATACAGGTGGTCACTAGGAAAATAATACCCCTAACATATAATAAAAATGGTTTATTACAAAAATGCTAGATTTCTAACTACTTCCAGTACACACAACTACTATGAGTAACACTCATGTACTTCTCAACAAGGTACAGTACATCTCTCACAATCACCATAACTTGGTGTATCTTTTGAACAAGACACCAAACTCCTCTGATACCTCATACACTGGAGTACCAAACAATACACTTCCTGTATACTAACTGCACGGATCACTTTCATGGCTCCACCCATGGTACTTCACAATAAGGTACAATACAACATCCAGTATACAAACAAAATGATGTACCTTTCACAAAACCACCCAATACTGTGTCACACCTATAGTACACTGGAGCATCCACCGAACAGGTTACCTGAAAATGTAGCTTGTAAATAGTAGCCTAATAGGACTCTGCAGTAGCCCCACAACTAAATTTCTGTAGCTACCGTGGTTACAATTCGCAAAGAACAAGTGGCTTAACTCATACTCTTGCTAGCACTAAACATACATAGCACTGAGGAGAACATACATACAGAAGTCGTGGCGGGTCGGGTCGTGTTGTGTCTGTAACAAAGTGTGTTCGGCATTTGGGCCTTCGTTGAGCGGCAGAAATTGGACAGTGATTACATGAGATCATCAAGATCGTCTTAGTGATGTGAGTGTAAATCGATGTAGGATTTTTAATGCTAGATGCGATTATATATTTGAAAACTCAATCTCCACCGAGTTGGAGGTACAGCCCAGGTCAAAAGGCCTGCAACCACAAAATCATTGCCATATGACAAAACTTTTATTTAATTTTTTTTTACGGAGTTGTGGTCACAGCTGTGATAAAGGCCAACTAGGGAGTGTAGTACTGTGCCTTTAGGTAAATCAGTTCATAGTGTCATCAGTGACTGCGGAAAAGGTTGTAAATAACTTAAAGTGAAGAACAAATTGGCAAGCGAGCTGGTGAGGCACCAGTGCCAGCAGAAACCAAGTCTTATTATAGGTGCCACAAAGACTTTTATTTTTATTTTATTTTTTATTTTGTTTGTGTGCTATCTCAGGGATTGAAACCGTGCTTACAATACACCATTCACAGGTAGATACAGTGTACACAGTTATAGCATAAAGAGATACTATATAGTCGTTGATGAGAGCTGGAAAGGAAAGTATAAGGAAATAATAGTTAATAAGAAATAAAATCAGCAAGCTTGGCTATCGTAAAAGGCATTCTATTACCGCCCCAAAGATTTATTTTATTTTTCTGCACTTCTAAAGGACTGAGTGGGCGTATGTAATCCGTTATTCATAGCAAAATGCAGTGTACATAGAGATAGCACATAGATACCAACACATTGCCGAAGTGAAAAAAAAAGAGAAGAAAAACAGAAGACTGTGATCCCTCGGTTAACTTCGGTTAACGAGCATTCCCTCGATTAACGAATTCCTTACGAGCGCCCCTCAACATGTTTTCGCTTGCACACTAGCTGTCGTATTAGTCCGCCAATGCAGTAAACGGTTCTAGGGCTTAAATTCCTTACTATTTTAGTAAATATCAAGAAGTTTGTACTATTCAATAATTTTAAAAGTCTTATATTAAATTTTTTTGTCATTTTAACAATTATTTAAAATAATTTAAGAACAGGGAAACTAGTTTTAAGCTCTCCAAACAGCCTATCAACACACCACACAGGCGTCAGTCTCTGTGTCTTTTCAGTGGAGGTAACATCTTGCTTCAGACTCTCCAACATACCGGTAAATGCTTTTTTTCTGTGTTTCCAGTCAAATTATTGGTCATTTTGAAATATATTTTACATATTGACAATATATAATGCAGTGCAGTGTTGATTTAAAGAAAATAATCTTGAATTACACCAAGTGAACTAAAATTTTATAGGTGAAATGGCGACATGGGGTGGCTTCTCTTCCACCCCAATGCCTTCTCTTCTCCCTTCTCCACCCCCATTCTAATTCCCATCATCATCATCATCAACCAGGAGCCTTCTACATGCACACCTCAAAGTAAGTGTACTTTACTGCATTTATTTTTAGTTTGTATGTAATTTTCGGTGAGCTGGAACCAATTACCCAAAAATCCATTGAAACAATGGTTTCGGTTAACGAGCAACCTTTTGGAACAAATTGTGCTCGTTAACCGAGGGACCACTGTATAAATCTTTAAAACCACCTGTAAATAATAAAAGCCAACAAAAAAGCTTAGATGAAAAACAATGTGTTTTGTTGGGTATAAACCAAATGGTTTAAACCATTTGTTTTAAATTGTGTGTAAATTGGCCACTTCAAGAAAAAAAATAAATATCTGCCATGCTGTTTTTTCTGCCAATACCTGAAAAATGCAACACTATCACAACCTGTAAAGGTGTGAAAAGATGGAGTTCAAGGGTAGATGCTTTTTCATGAATTGCCAGATACTTAAAGTTGTGTTCTTTGCCAAAAGCTACCTACAATTCACTGACATCAAGTTATTTTCTGCATAGGTAATTGCCAGAATAACAACATGTGTGCATGGTATGAATGAGAATTTTAGTAGATTTTTCCTTGCAACATCACACACACATGTGTCAGCTTCATGAAAGTGAGGTTGTAAATATTCTAAGCCTGCGTCAGTTGTGCACAACACTTTAAGACCCTTTGTCATATATACTTTTTTTTCTGCTGTATACTTTTATGGTTGTATCATGGCTTGAACAAATTAACTTCAAGAACTTTTTCGGAGTGAGATTTGTGAACTGTTGGAACAATCTACCAGAAAGTAATGTGACAGCACCGAGTGTGAGCTCTTTCAAGACCAGACTTGACCAACACTGGAGCAGGTTCAGGTGCATTCAGAAGCCGGTGCATGCCCAGTGCTTGCCAACAGTGCGTAACAGAGACGTGACCGATCGCCCAAACGGCTAACGAGTCGATCATTTGGTGAAGAGGATAAAAGAAAAAAGTAAAAGGGAAAACATGAAACACAAGCTCAGGGCGATCTGTTTTTGTACGTTACGGTGTTAGGTCTTCTGGGGGTATACAGGGTATTGAAAACGCAATTGCTGATAGTGATAGTATTTATTAATTATATTAGTATATAATATTCCTCAGTGCAAGAAGAGGTCATGGTAGTCATTATACAGATAGTAAAATTTAATATCACTGCAGTATATTCGCCATTTACATTGTTAACACTAATATGTAAACAATGATGCATTCTGAGAGAATATTGGCAAGAAACAAGTTTATCATTCATGTTATTGGTTAATGAAAAGGATAAAGAATTTGATTTAATAAATATCTTTAGACACAAAAAAATTGCTATGGTACATGTAATTTTTAGCCACATTAATTTTTAAAAGAATTCGTGGTTATTCATACTAAGGGTAATTCTATACAACACCCCCGCATAGACTTTTATAACGAAACCAACGTTAATCCATAGAATTTTTTCTCCTCTATCCAATGGTATATGTCTCTTTTTGAGATCTCTCTCCTATAGTCTACAAAATTATGTTCACTTGATAGTGGGTGATGTCGAGCTCAAACTTCAAAGCACAGACTGTTTCTTCTTATTTTTTATAAATGTAAATGGGGGTAAAAATAATAAGTATATATTAAATGCATCCTCCGAAAGCGTGAATTTGTTATCCGAGTTTATCAGTTAATTCACGTATAATTCTTCTGATAAACTTCCAACGTGCTTATGCTTGAAATAATGAAGGTACAGTATGTATCTTTATATATTTTAGCGAAGTATCTTTCTCATCAGAAACGGTCATCCCAACGATTATGAATAAACTCATTTAGAAACACATCCTTATTCAGGACAAAATCGGACAGGTTTGCAACAGCCAATCAGCTGTAACTTTTGAGGAGGGGGCGGGGCATCTTTTCTCAGCTGGGAAAAAATGCGCTTATAGGTAAGTCACCCTTCATTCACAGAAAAATAATATCCAGGACTCGGTGAGCTGTTCAGGGTGTCAGGGTCTATCATCATCGTTGTCCTCTGATTTGGTCTGGGACACATAGTTGTTACTTAGCAGGTCCCCCGGGTCACTGTGCTGCGGGGAGAGGGAGAAAGTCGACCTGCGAGCTAACCCGAGGTACTCCTGCAGCACAAGCCCCACCAGCGACAACAGATCCCCTTTCCGTGGTGACCTAAGTCATCACTACACGAGAGGCACGACTCTGTTGGAACACACGAGAGCACCATTAGATATTATTTCAGATTCACCTGATAATTAAACACCCTAACACTAACCACTCCTGGTAGTGTTAGGATATTTAATCAACAGGTTTAATAAGCTGGGGCTAACTTTCACGTGATCCAATATTTCTACTGTGTAGGGACTTCTGGCGCTTCAACAATTTAAATTAAATTAAAAGAAAAGTACTAAAATAGAAAAAATAGTGACACTTTCTTTTTTAAGGTACAGTAAGCCAAAGATGCACTGACCCCACCCTAGGTCTCGTATTCGCAATTTTACCTAGCAATACTGTCATAGTCACTTTTGTGCAGATAGTCCGTTCAACACGTTATTATTCATATTGTGCTACAGCGCCCGCAAAATGTGGAACGTTTGAGTCCCCCAATAGAGACGTCCGTTCTCTATCCATTTCAGGATAATTATATTAATGAATTGGCAAATCAACTACAACCGTTGGTGCCACAAGATTCTCACATCAAATTTTCTTCATTATTTTAGCAAATATACGAAAATTTGGAACTTCTCATGATCTAAAATAATGACGAATAGTTTATTATTATAAAAATGTTACCTTTGGTTTGTTTAATATTTATCCTGACAGTGATACAGCCGAAAATAGATCCACCAATCACAATCACCTTTACATACAGCCTTACTTTACCAAGTATTGCCAGGTAAAATTACGAATACAAGACCCAGGGTGGGGTCAGTGCATCTTTGGCTTACTTTACATAGAAGGAAATTTGAGTCTCATATTCAACTACCAACCTCAGCGTTTCATGGTGGACTTGTATGAAAACTGCGCTGGGCCGTTTGATGTATGACCACTGACGGAGATTAAGTGCAAATTGAACTTATCGGTGAATTAAATGAAGATTAATGTAAGGAAGTAGAGTGTATGACTTACGCTTGGAGCCGTTCCACGTACTGCGTACACTTCTGTGGTGGCTAGAAACTGATCCTGTGAGGCGTTCTGATGAGGGTTCGGGGTGCTGGCCAGGTGCTGAATAATGGGATCCTGGGAGTTGTTCAGGGGGTGGACCTACAGGTGATACCTGCTGAGTTCCTGTGGGTAATGCAGGTGGTTTAGAGTAGTGAGAATTACAGGCGGCAACCATCAACACTAAAAGAAACAGAAGACGCATGCTGGAGAATGTGTGTTAGACTACAGACCTCTATGGGTGCTGCTCGGCAACTGCCGTCAGGTGCCAGATTAGTTTATAAGTAGACGATGGATGTGGTCATCATTTTGTCCGATACTCTTAGTTTGGCTTCAGGTTAGACGTATATATTTTGCTTTCATGAACAACCTAAATTAATATACTTTTTAAATAAAAATTGGCACTGTGAATGAGGAAATGTTAAGTAATTAATTATCCAGGGTTTATTCTTAATGTTACTAATAATTTTGCCTCAACCTAATTCCATAAAGAATTATACAATCGTTCGGTTACGTATTTTCTACAAATGGCGATGCATTCATGAGAGAATTAAAATAATTCAAGTATATGATGTTTTAAAGTAAAAGTTTGATGTAAGTGAGAAAATGATATATGGAAATCCCTGGTGGTGAAAGGGAGGGAGATAAGAGAGAGGTTGTCGGAGCTCTCCCTCCAGTTTGAACGATTATCTTGGGATTTTATTTCCTACCCAACGTGACTTTGTCAACTGGGTTTACCGATGAAGACACACACACACACACACACACACACACACAATAAGAAAATACACACAAGGTGCAGTCGGAAATACTCTTATGGACGAACCAGTACAAAGACAACATTGGCAGGATGATAGCGTGAGAGTCTAGTCCCAGTAACAAGAATTCCACAGGGAAATAGGGAACCGGTTTAGGGAGGAGGAAGACATAACAGGGTCTGAAAGTGTTAAAGAGCCATACGTTAATCTAATTTTTTCACATTTGAGGAATTAAGAATTGGTGGTAATCTAACTCTTTGTTTATATCTATAATTTACATTGGAGGATTGGTTGAAACTGCCCGAGAACGTTTACAGTGGAGGACTGTGGTCCCCATCCCTCAGATATGAGGACGGTACTCTAAACACCAAGTAACTGTATGTATTTATATTAAGAATACTCACCATATTCATTAATATTTCTACTTCGTTTTACACTGTATAAATAATGCTCGTTACAACTGTGAAATCTGATGGGATTTAATACCCCTAGTCATATTGGCCACTAAACAAAGGTTACAGCTGTACAGTCTTTACACTAGTCTTAGAGAAATGTTTAACGTTACTTTTGGATATCTAATATACTATAGGACTAGGCGTGTGTCTGTTTGTCTGTTTGTGTGTCTGTTTTGGGCAGCCGAAACGGCACAATCGTTTTTCACCAAACTTGGTGGAAAAATCACAAAAAATTCGTTGAGTGAAACAAACCTGGTCCCATGTCGATGGTTTCTTTAGGAAGGCATTAGTTAACGATTTTATTTACGATGGAAAACGATGCAAGTCTACGGACTTGGCGCACCCCCATTCGCTGTACGCTGTCGCGAGCGTTCAAACTCTCACAAGGGCACGAATGTGCCCGCGATCACTTGTGGTTTGTACTATAGCTTGAAAGAACCAGTTAAACACGGTTTTAATTCTTTCGCTAAGGGGAAAACAAAACAAACCTTTGAGAATACCCCGAGATACTCGTGAACCTAAAAAAACAGTAGACACTGATGTATTATTCTGCCCATTAACGCTTCGCATTTATGTTCTCGCGGTTAGTGGAGCAACAGGAGAAGCGACAGGATTTTTGACAGTGACTGTACGTATAACTTTAAACGCCCATAGTGTTCGCTAAAAGACATACTGGTTGGAACCGATGTTTTCAACAGATTACCAACCAAAGAGGTGAGGTGGTCGAATGGATGTACCACTCACCTATCCTAACGAGCGCTCGTTCAAGCCTGGAGCATCCCAGCTGTGAATGTGTACCTAAAGCTTTCCCGTTAGAAAAGTGAATGCTGTGAGGTGTAGTTACAGGTACAGTGCCTCCTGTTCTACCCTATGCTTAGTATTCAGTGTGTCAGTCGCCTCAGAATGCGCCCAGTTTAGAATAATTACCCTGACCAGTTACTCTTGAAAAGTTTTATTAAATATAATCTTAGGAAAATAAATAGAATAGAAAATGAATAATGTGAAGATCAAATTTATTTAGAAGGGGAAGATGAACTAGTGAAACTGTATTTGGCGAAAGAATTTTGAGCGGAAGGGCCTTAGAGTTCCATCGAAATTGATAGGGTAAAGCACAATAATTTTACAGAGGTCTTGGGAAAATAGTTGTTAATGAAGGAGATATCAGAATTAAAAGTGATGTGTACTGGCAACCGGAAGCAGCAGTGCTAACAAGAGAAATTCTAACAAGAGAAGATGGAAGTAGCAACGAAGGAATACTGTAAAAGTTTAAAAAATAAATAATGTTCCTAAATAAACCATAAATTCTTAATTCCCAAAAAAATACTGTATGGTAGCTAACAGGAAACTTAAAAAAAATCAATATTTTGTGTATTTAGGAAGTATTGTTATTGTAATGGTAGACGTGATATAGAACAAAATGAGAATGGGTTAAGTAAAAGCAGTATGTAGTGATCATGGACACCCGCTAAAAAGGGATATTAACATTGTAAATTCATAGATACTTCAGCATTATAACAGGAATTTGGGGATAAAGGTAGAAATAGTAATGGCCAAAAATGAGGATAGGAAGGCCAGAGGAAAGAAGAGACTGGGATGGATGAGTAAAATTAAAAGGTGAGCGTCCAGAGACATGCAAACTCTAGAAGGACTGGTAACAGCCTGAAAACATTTAGACTGGGGGCTGTGGTCACTAACCCTCAGACATGACAATGGCGCATTTGACTGAGTGATTCGCAGTGCCCCTCACTTGAATATGGGACCCACTTCCACTTTTTCCCAGTTAGAACCTTATAATATATATATATATATATATATATATATATATATATATATATATATATATATATATATATATATATATATATATATATATATATATATGTGTGTGTGTGTGTGTGTGTGTGTGTGTTCATTATACTTTTCATCATCATCAAAACCCCTAAACCCTCAAAAGTCTTTTGGCGACAAACGAGTGGCGACGGGGACAAGCAGAGATGACTGTCGGGAGTCTCTAGTCACAACTCTGCACATGGGCGGCATGGATAAGATGGTCGTTTATGTACTGGGATCCAGACAGCAGTGCAATCCGGTCCTGTCTGTGCAACTGAACAGCGCTTTCCAGGAGCCAATCTTAGCGCTAGGAGCTGCTGCTGCGGTTTACTCTGCAGCAGAAATAGAGAAACCAAAGAGAAGGAAAAGGAAGTGGGTGAAACAGTGGCTGATGAAAAGGCACGATGTCTCTCGAAGGATGTCTTTAAGGTGGCGAGATTAGAATCCCAGGGCGAGATTCCTTGGCAGACGCCACGAGTCAACCTTTCCCGGGCCAGGTGCTCCGAGCTAGCGAACGAGCCTGTAACAACTTTGGCCCACTGACTCCGTCGTATGATCATGGTCTATCTACCGTTCTTGGTTATATGTATGGAGCCGTATTAATATCCATGCTTGGGGATGGCTAGCTGAAATATAGTCATCCCAGGTTAAGTATTGAACCACTGAATGAGAGTTAAAGGTACCAAGTTGTTCCTTGCGAACTAACAGGAGGTATTGTAGGTTCCTATAATTGTGGAGTTGTCCAGTGTGTTATGTATTCGTCTGTAGTAACCATGAAAGAATAACTTGAGAGTATAATGTTCTAACCAAGAATTGAAGAGGTAATTTGTTACTTGTTAAAGTAAGACCTGAGGGTCCAGTGATATCCTGTGAATAATAGTTACGGAATCTCATTTGTCAAGGTAATAATACCACAATTGTCTAATGAAGTAATAAGTATTTGGAGGTGTTTAATGAGGTAATAAGTTCTTGAAGTGTTTGATGACTTAATAAGTTAATTGCGGTTCGGTTTTGTCTGAGTGAATCTAAGATGCATCTTCTCCACTCACTGTGTTAATAAATATTGAATTAGTAATCTACGAGTATCACCACTCTACTCATTCTAAACATTGGTTCCCAGAAAATAATACTTACTCACGTGCTTATACATCTACCACACTACCCAAAACCCTTCCATGAGTTATGTTATATAATGAAAAGTCTAGGTGGTGGCAGTTACCCTGTGTAAGTATAAAAAGAGTTGTACTAAGAGTAACATGGTTCCCCAGACTAACCCATGTATAAGAATAGACATAAAACAAAGTTAACTCCCGAAAGGTAAGAACATTGAAACTGAGAATATAATATATATGAATGAAATGAAAGACTTGGAAAGTACAAGAAGAGAAAGATAAGACAAGTATATACATTGTGGAACTAACGACACCGCATAGAAATTATTAAATATATACATCATGAAAGTTTAAGATAAAGAACATACATAACTGAGAAGAGAATTACTTTATAAGAATCTAAAAAATACTTATAAGTAAAGAATTGAAGAATCATAACAGAAAAGACAATCTGGATGGTAAATTATGAAAAGAGAAAATTCGGCTTGTTACACTGTAAGGTGTCATAAAGATTTTATGAATTTATGACAAGCTAAATTAATCGAGAAACTGTTTCGGTGAATATTGATAGCTGCCCGCGATACTCTAGACTAGAGTCTAGAAATTATGAAGTGCAGATTCTTCCAAGACTCTGTGGGGTATGAGATATTTGGTTCACACTCAGGATGGAATGGAGAAAGGAAACTCACAATGTGCTCTCTATATACATGTTGTATTGGATGTACAATGCAGCTTGGTGCTGGGAAGGCAGCATGGTTACAAGCGTGATGTAGAGAGAGCTGGTTGGTGAGGATGCTCAGAGGGGGACCAGCTTGCGGGTCGCCATGCTCGCCGGCGGGAGCGAGGACCACCAGGCAGGCGGAGGAGGTGTTGCTGGCTGGTTGGTGTAGGTAGAAAAGAGGGAGATCACCACGAGGTCAGGTCTTAAATAGCGGGGGTAGGCGTGGCTTAGCAGTTGACCCCCGCTCCGTGATGTATGGCGGCACTGGTTGACCTCGACCACGAGGCATACACTGGGGAATTGGTGGGGTCGGCTACTCAGCGACAAACAGCGTTTGTAGGGGAGGAATCCACTACAACTCTCTCTGTTAACACTGATACTCGACACTTAATTTATGTACTGCTTTGGTGTCTGACCATTGAACATTTTGATACATATGTATTGTACCTGAATGCAAGATGGATATGAATATTGCAACAATTACTGTATGACTTTAAAAAAATGATTTTTTTTTAATTTTGATTTTGTAGTATTATAAGTCCATTATGACTGATTCCCTTTTCAGAATGACTTGAGTTTGTTATCAATCGCATTGTTTATAACATTTCGGTGTGATATTTAGTTGTCTACAATAACATATTGTATGTGTGCGTTATGAAATATTTTCATGACTGAGAATATCCCCAATTCCGTCATAATTAAGTTTCAAAAATATATGTTGTGATGAAGCTATGCAAACTTAGAAATCTACAACCGGCCTGGAAGAGTCTATTGCAGTCCAGGACAATGTAAAAATTAAAGTTGTATCTTTATATCTCCCGGGGTGAACGAAACTTCCCGAATAGGTTCTTGGGCCTCAGTCTACTACAGACATCCAATATTTACTTACACATACTGTTACAACTCTCCGTTAAGTGGATACTCAAATAAATTAATCCACTTATATCACAAACTTATTTTGTCATCAAAAAACAAGTAGTTGAGCAGTCAACCAGGAGTGACAAGTCTGTACACATCCTCAGAATGTTTTTAAAGGCTATTTATAACTCGATATCTCTTGAAAAATACACATAACGTACCTGTAACATCATCTCAAAGCGTCAGCTGACAGCACAGCTAGATTAGGTTATAATTTATTATTCGTCCTCTTAACACGTGCTAGGGAGATGAAGCGGGCCACTTGAGCACCAAAGACCACTTTGAAGTTCACAGAGATCTTTCTGCAGCTCTTCACAGTCTGTTTGCTTCTTAATTTCCCTGAATAATTGGCTTCGTCCGCAAGCATTTGTATGGAAGAGTGTATACAGTAGCTCCCGGCATGTCATTTGCTGATTACCACAAGCAAAAAGAAAACACGTGTTTTCTTTTCGCTTGTGGTTATCAGCATATATATATATATATATATATATATATATATATCAACATCTAAGTAAAAACAATACATCCGTTTTCTTGTTCGTGGTAGAGATTAATAAGTAGGTTCGTAACCTTTAGCAACCCAATATTAATATTTATATAAAACAACTAACAAATTTATTTATGTATATATTTGACTATTTATATGGTAATACATATATATCTATATAAACCTAAATATAGAAAATAAACCCGTGGTAAAGAGATCAACATTTAGGCACATAACCCTTTGAGTGCCAATGTTTGTAAATAAGAGATGTCTCAGCTGTCTCACCATGACGATAATAATGAGGATTATCCTCTGGTGATCAAGACTGAGAACGCCAACACTGTTTTGCAGTTATTGAGAGCTATTAACTTCAGTGAGGTAGGTGAGAGATGAGGGAGGGAAGGAAGGGAGGGGTGAGAGAGGTGAAGGGTGTTGGTTGTAGAGAGGGAGTGATGTGAGAGGGTGGGTTAGAGAGTGAATGAGGGAGAAGGGAGAGATAGGTGAGATGGAAGGGAGGTGAGATGGAGGTTATAGTTGCGTATTATAGAGAGAGAGATTGTGTGCGACAGAGAGAGATACGTGTATTTTAAGAACCTAAACATTTTAAAAACTATTTTTAATCTTAGTTTACATTATTTTAAGTTAATATTAAGATAGGTTAGGTCAGGTAAGGTTAAAGTTGAGTTAGGATTGTGTGTTAGATTGTATTATAGGTAAATGTTTACGAAACTGGGTTAATATATAGGACTAACCCGCCGGGCTGCATAGCGCCGATGCAGCCGTATTATCTCACTTCCAAAAGTGCCTCAAGTGTCATCATATCATAGTAAGTTCTTTCTGTTTAATATACCTCGGAAGTTAGGTAAGGTAAGGTAGGTTTGTTTGGTTTGGTTGTTTAGGTCTGTTCTTCATAACCACAAATGTTAAGTAGCGTTTATTTTAAAAATATCGTTTTTTAACATATTTCCACAAACTACAACAGTATCCACTATAATACAGTATAACAATGAAAATCCTGCGTTTGTACACAGTAATTGTTTTCAATCAATTTCGCCCGCTGGTTAGTTCTATATAATTACCCGAAACTGTTATCATTAGAAGTTGTTTGTTGATTTTCTTTATTTTTGCTACACTTATTGTTTTCATGATTTTAAGTTCATTAAAGGAAACGACAACTTTATATTATATTTTTTATTTATTAGGATTTTTTTTTAAATTAATCTATCCCACGATCTTAAATTCCTTGTTAGTGGGCTGGGCATGAAAGACGAGGGAAATTACGGGGTATAAACATGGCGAACACTGATGTTATGGCATTAAAATTACAACTCTAGGTGCATTTCAAACGCCACAATCATTTTCTTACCGTAAGTCATCTAATTCCCTACCGCCACCATTCCTTCCTCTCCAATTGTATAAATTGTGTTCCATTATTCCTGATCCTTTTAATAAAATAATTATGCATCTTTATTAGTTTAGAATTATGTACAAGGTATATTCCACTTTTTTGTTTATTAAATGCAATCTCTGTTCTCTCTATATCTTCTATAGTTTGTACATCACGTGATGATTACATGTTAGATCGTCTTGTTATGTTTGACCTGCGTTGTTGTGATTATTCTCATCGCGAATTATCAGGCCTAGTTCTTGATGATTTTCATTTGTTATCTCTTATTTGTGACCATGGTTTAATTAAATCAATATTAAGGTATGTTGCTTACGATTTTCTATTAGCATTATATAAAACACAGAAATGGAAACGATAATGCATAGAACTTAATAGAACTTGACCTAACAAACCCTGGGCTGTTAGGTCATGTTCTATTAGGTTCTATGCATTGTCGTTTCCATTTCTGTTTTTAATGTCATGCTAATAGTGTGTACAAAAATTTTAAACCAAATCGCATAATTACTTCGGGTAATAACAGTTTCGTAAACCTTTACCAGATTATATAAGGTTAAATTAGGGTCAAGCTAGGTTAAGGTTGGTCTTTTTATATTAATGCACCGTTCTATCTCTCGGTGTAAGAAATATGTTTTTCCGAATGTTCAGACAATTCTAAGACATTTTTCTTCTATGATATTTTTGTCGGAAATTGAGGTTAGGTTAGGTTAGATTTGGTTGGGTTTCGGTGATTTTCTATGTCTTTTACACAGAAAAGGTGTAGGTTAAGTTAGGGTATATTTCTTTCGGTATTAGAAATATCATAGAAGAAAAGTTTCTTAGAATTGTCTAAACATTCAGAAAAACATATTTCTTACACTGAGAGATAGAACGGTGCATTAATATAAACAGACCAAAAGAACGGTGCACCACTATAAATTGACCTTAAGGTTAAGTTAGGGTCATGCTAGATTAAGGTTAAATAGGATAGGTCAAATTAGGGTCAAGCTAGGTTAAGGTTAAGTTAGGTTATTTAATCCTCAGGTGAAATTAACTTGGGTTAATTTTCAGGTGACACTAAGTCAATATCCCAGAGTGTCCAGGTGTGTAGTGAGTCATGGGTTGCGATGTTTATCTGTGTTGTTGTCTTACAGATGGCCACCGTCATCGGCAGCCCTGAAGGATTGAGGGTTGTGGTGGAGGAGGGCAAGTGTATACAAGCCAGTGCCTTCCTTCAGTCGCAGATGTTCCAGGTGAGAGGAAGCTAACCTAACCTAACCTAAGCTTACCTAATTTTACTTAACCTAACCTGTCTTACCTTAGCTAACCTAACCTGTCTTACCTTACCTAACCTAACCTAACCTAATCTTACCTAACAGAACCTAATCTTATCTTACCTAACCTAACCTAACCTAACCTACGAATCTGATATACCTTACCTAACCGAACCTATATTAAACTCTAACCTATCTTACCATAACCTAACCTAACCTATATTAAACGCTAACTTATCTTAATCTGACCTAACTTAATGTATTCTAAGCTAACTTCAGTTATTAAATATACTGTACATTCAGTAAGTGTGAAAGTATTATATGTATAGTAGCTCCTGTACATAGGGGAGCAGACAGTGTAGGCTAGTGTATAGAGGTGTATGTACAGTGTACATGTACCAGTATGTGTACAGTCTCCTTCCTGGAGGGTGAGGAGAGTGACAGTTAACAACACCTGTTACAGGACAAAGGCAGGCCACCCTGTATCATCATATCATCATCTGGCCTGTCTGCATCACAAAATACAGCATGAATAGTGTATACAGTAATATATTTTGTTTATTTTCAATATACTGTACCTCTCTGACTGCAGTTAAGCCTCTGTAGCAATGGTGCTCTGTGCCATACAAGTACTTTAGACTTGGAACCATTCACCAATGCCTGGAAAGGTTCAGTAAATGTGTGATTTTTTTCCGAAATCTCTCAAACATGGAACTTTCAGTACCAATTGTTCCGACTACAGTAAACCCTCAGTTGGTCCGGTCGACGTCTGGATGTGGCAAATTCCTATCCAGTCTCTCTCAGTCCTAATGCTGTGTTTACTCCCCCACTGCAAAAATAGATCCAGTCCGCATCTCTTGCCACTAGTTACAGTGCGCGTCCCTCCTCTGTCTCGCTTGGACTCTCGGTGTGTACACACCATTTCGTTACCTTTCAATTGTTCCCTTTTGTTGTTCGTCGTGCATTTTGTGCCCTGTGACTGTTTTTGTGTCTGATTTCTTGTTTCTTGTGATTGTTGTATAGTGATGGCACCCAAAAGGATGTGCATGCAGCTTGCTGTAGCTCAAAAGCTGGAGTTGTTTCAGAAGTTAGAGATTGGTCGGTCTGTAGCGAGATGCTGTAGAGAATATGACGTTGCTTAGGAAACAGTGTCTGATATATGAAAGGCTAAGGGTTCCCTGCAGTCATTTGCAATGAAATATAGTCCTGATTCTTCGACCTTTAAGACGACTTTTGGATACCACAAGCTGTATTAAAATTGAAAGGAGGTAAGTTAAAATTATGGAGTGGGAAGTAATGGTAACATGCGCTCCTCAACAGCTGATATTTAACTCTCCACCACGTAGTCACACACATGCAAATTTGTCATACAATAAGATCATCACTCCCGATGCTTGCTGTCTTAATTCTTGTGGTGGGGGTGTGTGTGTGTGATGTTGGAGTATGTGTGTGTGATGTTGGGGTGTGTGTGTGTGTGTGATGTTGGGGTGTGTGTGTGTGATGTTGGAGTATGTGTGTGTGATGTTGGGGTGTGTGTGTGTGATGTTGGAGTATGTGTGTGTGATGTTGGGGTGTGTGTGTGTGTGTGATGTTGGGGTGTGTGTGTGTGTGTGATGTTGGGGTGTGTGTGTGTGATGTTGGGGTGTGTGTGTGTGATGTTGGGGTGTGTGTGTGTGATGTTGGGGTGTACAGGTTGGGGGGGGTGTGTGTGTGTGTGTGTGTGTGTGTGTGTGTTAATAATAATAATAATAATAATAATGAACGGTTTATTGAAAAAGTTTGCAGCCCGAAGGCTGAAAATATACATTGGACATAAATGACTTATTACATACATTGGTGGTTTAACAAAAGCCTTCATTAGAGAAAGGTGAAGGAACATATACAGTGAATATAAAGATTAATGTTTACACACATAGATCATGAGAGCTGAGGTGTTGAACAGCAGACACGTAGTGTAGTAACTCCCTCACAGATGGCGTTATGAGGGGCATCACGTGGAGTACTAGTTCCCTCACAGGTGGTGTTATGAGGGGCTTGACGTGGTGTAGTAATTCCCTCGCAGATGGTGTTACGAAGGGCCTGATGATGTAGTAGTTCCCTCATAGTTGGTGTATGACGGGCCTGATGATGTAGTAATTCCCTCACAGATGGTGTTATGAGGGACCTGATGTGGTGTAGTACTTCAATCACAGATGGTGTTATAAGGGGCCTGATGTGGTGTAGTAATTCCCTCACGGATGGTGTTATGAGGGGCCTGATGTGGTGTAGTAATTCCCTCACGGATGGTGTTATGAGGGGCCTGATGTGGTGTAGTAATTCCCTCACAGATGGTGTTATAAGGGGCATCACATGGCGTAGTAATTCCCTCACGGATGGTGTTATGAGGGGCATCACGTGGTGTAGTAATTCCCTCGCAGGTGTTATGAGGAACTTCACATGATGCTGTCGCAACTCATTCACTATGCGGTGTCGTGCATAATGGGGACACCACGTGGTCCGTTGTCACAGGAATTCACTCACTCAAATGGGTGAGGTGTGGTCCCAGGCCTCTTTATCGTGGAGTCTCAGGGAAATTATCACTGGGTACCTGGGACCTCACTGTGTGAAGGTTAGCTAGGCTCAGACTCAACTGCCGAGTTGTTTTTCACTGACTTAAGCACTGTTCACCACTGTTCACCACTATTCAACACTGGTTCCATTCCTTTCCCAAATGAAATAGTAACTTCTGGCGAGAACTTGTTGGTATTCCGGTGGGGAGGAGGGTTCAGGGGAGGGAGTTGGTATGGGCCAACATAACAGTTGACGTGGCTACTGCTGAGCAGCGCCAGGTGTGTGTGTGTGTGTGTGTGTGTGTGAGAGATGTTGGGGTGTGTGTGTGTGATGTTGGGGTGTGTGTGTGTGTGTGTGTGTGTGTGTGTGTGTGATAATAATAATAATAATAATAATAATAATAATAATAATGAACGGTTTATTGAAAAAGTTTGCAGCCCGAAGGCTGAAAATATACATTGGACATAAATGACTTATTACATGCATTGGTGGTTTAACAAAAGCCTTCATTAGAGAAAGGTGAAGGAACATATACAGTGAATATACAGATTAATGTTTACACACATAGATCATGAGAGCTGAGGTGTTGAACAGCAGACACGTAGTGTAGTAACTCCCTCACAGATGGCGTTATGAAGGCATCACATGGAGTACTAGTTCCCTCACAGGAGGTGTTATGAGGGGCTTGACGTGGTGTAGTAATTCCCTCACAGATGGTGTTACGAAGGGCCTGATGATGTAGTAGTTCCCTCACAGATGGTGTTATGAGGGGCCTGATGTGGTGTAGTAATTCCCTCACAGATGGTGTTATGAGGAGCCTGATGTGGTGTAGTAATTCCCTCACAGATGGTGTTATGAGGGGCCTGATGTGGTGTAGTAATTCCCTCACAGATGGTGTTATGAGGAGCCTGATGTGGTGTAGTAATTCCCTCACAGATGGTGTTATAAGGGGCATCACATGGCGTAGTAATTCCCTCACGGATGGTGTTATGAGGGGCATCACGTGGTGTAGTAATTCCCTCGCAGGTGTTATGAGGAACTTCACATGATGCTGTCGCAACTCATTCACTATGCAGTTTCGTGCATAATGGGGACACCACATGGCCCGTTGTCCCAGGAATTCACTCACTCAAATGGGTGAGGTGTGGTCCCAGGCCTCTCTATCGGGAAGTCTCAGGGGAATTATCACTGGGTACCTGGGACCTCACTGTGTGAAGGTTAGCTAGGCTCAGACTCAACTGCCGAGTTGTTTTTCACTGACTTAAGCACTGTTCACCACTATTCAGCACTGGTTCCATTCTTTTCCCAAATGAAATAGTAACTTCTGGCGAGAACTTGTTGGTATTCCGGTGGGGAGGAGGGTTCAGGGGAGGGAGCTGGTATGGGCCAACATAACAGTTGACGTGGCTGCTGCTGAGCAGCGCCAGGTGTGTGTGGGCGTGCGTGCGTGCGTGCGTGCGTGCGTGTATGTGTGTGTGTGTGTGTGAGAGAGATGTTGGGGTGTGTGTGTGTGTGTGTGAGATGTTGGGGTGTGATGTTGGGGTGGGTGGGTGTGTGTGTGTGTGCGTGTGTGTGTGTGTGTGTGTGTGTGTGTGTGATAATAATAATAATAATAATAATAATAAACGGTTTATTAATAGAGTTGCAGCCGGTGCCTGAAAATATACAAACTTACATGTGATTTAGACATAATAATATACATCCAATACAATTACAGGGCTGTACAGTACATAAATGAGGAGCTGTTTATTATTTTAACAATAGATGGGATGGTACTGTTTTTATATCTATCAATGCGGGCTCTTATGGGCTGAATTTTGTTGTAGTGGCGGACTGCGTGAGGTGGGCGGGGGACTGCCGTTGGCAGTAGGTGGCGATAACGAGGATGGTGCAGTAGTCCACTGCCAAACCCTGCGAGTGCGTGGTGGTGGAGGTCACTGAGGGATGGCATTTCCAGGATGGAGAGAGCGTTGTTGTAGCCCGAGTAATCTGCGCCGAGCATGATTCTGCAGGCCTTCTTCTGTACCTTCTCAAGGTGACATTGGGTAGAGTTGAGAGAAGACGACCAGGCTGGTGACGCATACATTAATTTGGGGAGAATAAATGCATTGTAGATAGTCCTCAGCTCTGACGTGGGTACCCCAAGTGACCTGAGTCGTCGTAGCATGTAGAGTCAGTACGAGGCAGCCTTAATTGTGTTGTTTACATGGGCCTTCCAGTCCAGTTTGTGGTCTATAGTTACACCCAGGAGTTTGGCAGACTGGTGAATGCTGGCAACTGGGGAGGTGAGCAGCCTTGCAACTGCTTTGTAGCCACCACAGATGCATTCACACAATATTTTTTACTATTTTTGTAAAAAAAATGATATATACGGGGTATTTTTTTTTTGAATATTTTTTTTAAATCCGTAAGGGAGCATTTTTGTTTTCCGTAACCCAAAATTTTGTTCTAAAATTTAAATTCTGTAAGAGTGAAATTCCGTGACCAGAAATTCCGTAACTTGGAGGATTCCTGTTAACTCGTATTTGTTTTATTTATATATTATTCGACCTACAGTATATCATTAGTAAAAGTATATATAGGTAATCCTATTTTATTTAATGTGATAATTATTGATATTCAATTTGACTAATAATTATGTCCATTTTCAGGAGTATCACAGTCAGGATGATGTGGTCACATTTAAGATCAACCTCAACGTGCTGGTCGAGTGTCTCAATATCTTCGGTGGGAGTTCTTTGCCCGGGGTTGCTCCATCTCTCAAGATGTGTTATGGGGGTTATGGCTCACCTCTCAGTCTGGTGTATGTGTAGTGGTGTTTTTGTATCTGTAGTGTGGGGGAACATATTATTGATGTTTTGTAACTGCGATGGATGGATAAAGAGATAGAGAGATAGATAGATATAAAGAGATAGAGATAGAGAGATAGATAGATATAAAAAGATAGAGATAGATAGATAGATAGATATAAAGAGATAGAGAGATAGATAGATATAAAGAGATAGAGATAGAGAGATAGATAGATATAAAAAGATAGAGATAGATAGATAGATAGATATAAAGAGATAGAGAGATAGATAGATAGATATAAAGAGATAGAGATAGATAGATATAAAGAGATAGAGAGATAGATAGATATAAAGAGATAGAGATAGAGAGATAGATAGATATAAAGAGATAGAGATACATAGATAGATAGATATAAAGAGATAGAGATACATAGATAGATAGATATAAAGAGATAGAGAGAGATATTTTTCAGTAAAATCATTGTACATGATCTTCATTAATGCCTATTTTTTTTCAAGATTTCTGTAAGTCTGTTGTGTTTTACCTTATCAAAAGCTTTTTAAAAATCAACAAAGCAGATATGCAAAATTCTTTGGTCCTCTTCATTTCTTTCATTCAAACTTCTCAAAGCAAATACAGTGGTCCCTCAGTTAACGAGATTTCGGTTAACGAGTTACCTTCCATAAGATTCTTAACTTTGGTTAACGAGCAATCCCTCGATTAACAAGTTTCTTACGAGCTGACCTCAACATGTTTTTGCTTGCATTTGGCGGTCCACCAGCTGTAATATTTGTCCGCCAATACAGTAATCGGTTCTAGGGCTTAAATTCCTTACCATTTTAGTAAATATCAAGAAGTTTATACTATTCAATAATTTTAAAAGTTTAATTTTAAATTTTTTAGTCATTTTAACAATTATTAAACATAATTGAAGGTAAGGATACTAGTTTTATGCGTGTCATCCAGCCTCTCAACACACCAAACAGGTGCCAGTGTCTCTGTCTTTTCAGTGGAGGTAACATCTTGCTTGAGACTCTCTTCAACTAAACGCTTTTTTTGTGTTTGCAAGCAAATTATTGGTCATTTTGAAATTTATTTTACATATTGACACTATATAATGCAGTGCAGTGTTGATTTAAAGAAAATAATCTTGAATTACACCAAGAGAACTAAAATTTTATGGATGAAATGGCGCCATGGGGTGACTTCTCTTCCACCCCAATTCCTTCTCTATTCCCTTCTCCTCCACCCCCATTGTAATTCCCATCATCATCATCATCATCATCCAGGAGCCTTCTACATACACACCTCAAAGTAAGTGTACTCTTCTATCTTTTTTGTTGAATTTAGGCAATTTTCGGTGAGCTAGAACCAATTACCCAAAACCCATTGAAACAATGGTTTCGTTTAACGAGTTTTTCTGTTAACGAGCAACCTTCTAGAACGGATTGTGCTCGTTAACCGAGGGACCACTGTATAACTTCTCTAGTTCCCTTTCTCTTTCTAAATCCATTTTGCTCTTCAGATAACTCACTGAACTCACTGTCTATTATAAATATTCTTAGCATTTCAAAAGCCTCCAACCTTTTTCTGGTGTCTACTGAAAGTGTCCATGTTTCTCACCCATTCATCAGTCTTTGCCATATATAGCCTTTCAACGGCCTTTTTCTCAAATTGAAGTTGTCCCTTTTCATTAGGTCTTTTAGGTTATTAAATATTGTTTTTGCTTGACCTGTTTTAATTTTGATTTCTTTCACACATCTAACATCACAGTCAATGCTAACTTCCCAAACACATAAAATTAGTTTAATAAAACTTTGCAAGTATGACTTATTAAGCTAATTGTTCTATACTAGGTGCACTCTAAGGCTCCGGGCTATTTAGTACCTGTGGATAAAAGTAAAGTAAAAATGTAGTTACATTATGTTAGGTAAAGATGTTAATGTTTGGTTAAGATGTTAAAGTTAGTTTAAGTTGGTAATGTTAGGTTAAGTAGGAAATGTTAGGTTAAGTTGTTAATATTAGGTTAAGTTATTAATATTAGGTTAAGTTATTAATGTTAGGTTAAGTTGTTAATGCTAGGTTAAGCTGGCAAGGTAAGGAATAGTTGTTAATGTTAGGTTAACATTAAGTTGGTTAATCTTCAATGTGATTCATAAAATCTACCAACTACAGTAAAACCTCCATATAATGGACTTCTCTCTCCGTATAGTTCGTTAGATGGAGGTTTCACACCTAACAGACCCTCGATGTAATGAACTTTCATGCCGATATAGTTCGTTAGATGGAGGTTTCACACCTAACAGACCCTCGATGTAATGAACTTTCATGCCGATATAGTTTGTTAGATGGAGGTTTCACACCTAACAGACCCTCGATGTAATGGACTTTCATGCCGATATAGTTTGTTAGATGGAGGTTTCACATACAATGGACCCTCTATAAAACGGACTTTCCTCTATATAGTTCATTAGATGGAGGTTTCATTCTCCATAATTCAATCATGTATCAAACACCATAATGATGTACAGTAGTTTTAAGTGAAGATATCTGATAATGAGTGTTTTTACAGGCTGGAGGAAGCGAGTGTGTTGACGGACTGCAACATCCGCACGCAGGAAGCCGACGATACTCTCGAGTTCAACTTTTGCAATACAAGTAAAGGCTTTATTTTGTCTTAGTCTGTGTTGTGTCTCTGTGTTTTGTCTGTACGTGTGTGTGTGTCTGTATTAGGTGTGTTTTGTCTGTACTTGTGTCTATGTGTTTGGGTCTACTTGTGTGTATGTGTGTGTGTGTCTACTTGTGTGTATGTGTGTGTCTCTATTTGTGTGTATATATATATGTGTGTCTGTACTTGTGTGTACAGGTAATCGTTGATAAACAAGAGGGGATAGTTTCCTGAAACACCCATCGCTAAGTGAAATAACATAGATAAGGAGCATTATAACATGGAGTACGATGGGAAATGTTCCCAGCCAGTCTCCAAACACACATGTATTATCGACAAAAAAAATTCCTACACTGATGGTCCAGCTGTGCCGCTGATGGTCCAGGTGTGCCGCTGATGGTCCAACTGTGCTGCTGGTGGTCCAGCTGTGCTGCTGATGGTCCAGCTGTGCCTCTGATGGTCCAGCTGTGCTGCTGATGGTTCAGCTGTGCCCCCTAGACCTGTGGTGAGATAGTTAGGTTAGATTAGATTAGGTTAAGTTAGTATATACTGTATTGGTAGTAAAAGACAGGATAAATTTATTATATTTTCATTATAACTCCAGGAAAAACATTACTTTAGTCTTTACACCGTTAATTCTTGAATAATATTTGTCACCTTTTTCACTAATCTGTTTATGAGTTTTTATAATGTCTCTTTACTATCTTTGATAAATACAGTATCATGTGCATTAGGTTAGGTTAGTGTTAAGTCAGGTTAAATCAAATTAGGTTAAGTTAAATTAAGTTACATTACATAATACTGTACACCGGAATATTTACTTGCAGTGTGTTGAACAGAGTAGTGATGTGGTCGAGTTAGCTTAGGTTAGGTTAGTGTTAAGTCAGGTTAGGTTATGTTAGGTTATTGTTAAGTAACGTTAGCTTAGTGTCAAGTAAGTATAAATCAGATTAGGCTAAGTTAAGTTTAGCTACATTACATAATACAGTACACTTAAATCTTGACTTGCAGGTGTTGTGAACAAAATAGTAATGCGGTCGGAGTGTTTGAGGGACATCTTTTCCGAGTTTGATTACAACTGTTGTGGAGTACCTGTATTAGAGATTCTCACATCACCGGACCCTCCCTATTTCCGCCTCTCTACCATCAGTAACATGAGCACGAGTGATGTAAGTGTGTTTTTTGTGTTTTTTTGCAGTTCCTGGAGAGAAAAGTTGTTTCGGGGTTAATTAGATGTAGTTGAAACCATGAATGATGTTATTTGTTTTTAGCATTTATGGATCCCCTGAAGTGGTAACCTACCCTACCCTAATCATATCTATCCTAACTTATCCTATCCTAACTTTACCTACTTATACAAACTTAACCTTTCCTTACCTGACCTGACCTTAACTTTACCTATCCTAACCTTAATTAAACCTTTTCCAACTTTACCATAATCTAATCTAACCTAACCTATCCTAACTTTAACTAAATCTTTTCTAACCTTACCAAACCAAACTTTACCATAACCAAACATAATTTAAACACTGTAGAGCAAGGGTTGGGGAACGTTTTTGGGTATTACCCAAAAATTTTTTGAGTAAAATGAAATTACCCCCAGACTTCAAAGTACACCAGTACAGTAAACAAAAACAAGACAATTTGCTTCTAAAATTGTTGGATATGGTATATACAGTATATATATATATATATATATATATATATATATATATATATATATATATATATATATATATATATATATATATATATATATATATATATATATATATATATATATATATATATATATACAGTTGTACAACAGAACATATGGGATTAATTCCAATAGAAACCGGCCCGACCCCCAAACTCCACTTTTTGAAGGCACATACCTGTTCTAGTAAAAATAACATCTTAATTTTATGATGGCACATGCACACAATTAATACTTAAGAGAAATAGAGAAATACAGTCGCCAAGTTAATGTCCATTCAAATAATGGACTCAACTCCCTCCCCCACTTCTCACACTACACTCGCTGGCTCTTCCCTCTCTGAGAAATTTTGGGGGGAAAACCAGGTATAGTAATAAATAATACCTCAAACTAAGGTTAGGATAATATAATTGACATTGCTGGATTCCTTGTAAGACCAGGAATATTTTGAATACAAATGTCATATATTTTGCACAAAAGAGTAAATATTAGGCCACTAGAGAAAAATTTTTATTCAAAATTTTATGTTTAATGCAAAATATAGATGTTTATATTCAAATGATCACCAAATTATAAGAATTCCAGCAATGTAAATTATATATTCTGACCGGGGTAATTTGTATGAATTTTATGAGCTAAAACAAATATCTTCAGTTAATAAAAAAAAAAAAATATTCTTCACGACACTATCTGTCAATCAAAGTACCCCACCTTGCCTCCCCCCCTCTTCCAACCACGCGGTCAGTCCCAACCCTCCCCCCCACCCCCCACCAATCATCCCTTCAAGAGATGTTGGGTGAAACATTTAGATTTTAACATTTTGTATTAAATAATACCTCAGATTAAAGTTAGGATAATATAATTGACATTGCTGGATTCCTTGTAAGACCAGGAATATTTTGAATATAAACGTCATATATTTTGCAAAAAAGATAATATACTTACTCAGATTAAACATTTTATCTAAAAATTTTATGTCTAATGCAAAATATATGATGTTTATATTCAAAATGATCACCAAATTGTAAGAATTCCAGCAATGCAAATTATATTCTAGCTGGGTAATTTGTATGAATTTTATGAGCTAAAATAAAAATCTACAGTTAATAAAAAAATAAAAATATTCTTCACAGGGTAACAGATGGTCGGTCCCTCCCTCCCCCCCCCACCCCACCAACCCTCCCTACCAGAGAAATGTGTGGGAGAAACCAGAATATTTACCTTTTTAGTAATAAATAATACCTCAGACTAAAGTTAGGATAATATAATTGACATTGTTGGATTCCTTGCAAGACCTGGAATGTTTTGAATATACGCTTCATATATTTTACACAAAAGATAACATATTTGCTCTGAGTAAACAAAATACTTGCATTAGATCTAAAATTTGTATGTCTAATGCAAAATCTATGATGCTTATATTCAAAATGATCATCAAATTATAAGAATTCCAGCAATGTAAATTATATTCTGGCCGGGTACTTGTATGAATTTTATGAGCTAAAACAGGCAGTCAGGCAGGGTGGCGGTGGGGCAATTTAAAATAGTGCTCGAAAGCCGACACGGGACACTCACTGCAGTAAGTGTGGGAAAATCTGCAAGGTGAAAGTTCAAGCTTGGCGCAGGCACTGTATAAGATAAAACACGCAGGATATATATATATATATATATATATATATATTTTACCCCGCCTAACGCGGTTTCACTTAACGTGTTTTATCATATACGCGGTGCCTCGCCAGAGCTGAACTTTCACTTAACACACAGTGGTCCCTCGGTTAACGAGCACAATCTGTTCCAGCATGTTGCTCGTTAACCGAAACCATTGTTTCAATGGGTTTTTGGGTAATTGGTTCCAGCTCACCGAAAATTGCCTAAATTCAATGAAAAAGGTAGAAAAGTTCACTTACTTTGAGGTGTGTATGTAGAAGGCTCCTGGATGATGATGATGATGTGAATTTGAAGTGGGAGGTGGAGGAGGAGAAGGGAGAAGAGAAGGAAGTGGAGGTGGAGGAGAAGCATTTTACTGCTTCTTGGAAGTTGAGTCACCTTCCATGAAAATGTCAGGAACCTCTGGACTGTCAGATTCTCCACCATGAACATCCTCTCTCCTTCTTGAAGTGGAAGGCTGAGGGATAGCATCTTGTTCCCTCTGCCTTTTACTGAAGAAAGTGTCAATTGTGGTCTGTGGGGCATCTGTCCTCCTCACCATTAACTTATGTTTAAAGAAGGAGACCACTGAGTCCTCAACATGACACAAAGCTAGTTCAGTTTTTTCCACTTCTGGGTGCTTTGAAGCCAGTTCCCTGAACTTCTCCCAGTAGTAAATCACATCTTTCAACTGTTTAGCTGACATATGGTCATCACTTTCAATTTCCTCCTCACCACTGTCAGCCTCTACCTGTAACATCTCATCCAGTTGCTTCAAGTCATCAGGGGTAAGTTCCTCCTCATGAGACATCACAAGCTCTTCCACATCCTCCTCCTCCACTTCAAGGCCCAATGACTGACCAATGGACACAATCTCCTGGTCCAACTCTATTTCTTCCTCAAATCCCTCAAAATCATGGACTACTGATGGCCACAGTGCTTTCCATGAAGAATTGAGGGATCTAGCGGAGACTTCTTGCTATGATGACACAATCAATTTTAAAGCCTCCAGGATGTTGAATTGTGTCTTCCAGAAATGTTTCAGTGTTAGTTCAGGATCATTGGAAGTTGCCTGATGACACCTAAACATTTTCTTCATGTACAACTTCTTGAAGTTGCTGATCACATTCTGGTCCATTGGCTGTATGATTGATCACTTTCACAGTCAAATTGATACTCCAAATTTCTGGCAAGGCCAGGGTCATGACCAGGAGCATTATCCATGAAAGGAAGAACCTTTAAAGGGAGTTTATTGGTGGTTAGGTAGCTCTTGACATAAGGGCAAAACACATCAACAGCCCATACATTAAAGAGCTGTCTTGTCACCCATGCCTTACGGTTGGATATTCAATAAACTCCAAGCTTTGTTCTTACCACTTTTTGTTGCTTGAATACCCTGGGGTTTTCAGAGTGGTAGACAAGCATAGGCTTCAGTCGGAAATCCCCCGAAGCATTGGCACCAAGCAAAAGAGTGAGACAGTCTTTCATGGGTTTATGCCCAGGTAAAGAGGCTTCTTCTTTGGTGATGAATGTTCTTTTGGGCATCTTTTTCCAGAACATCCCAGTTTCGTCCACATTGAACACTTGCTGTGGAAGATAATTTTCTTCTTCCACCAGTTCTTTAAATTCAACTAGAAACTTTGCTGCCCCTTCCTTATCAGCACTAGAAGCTTCACCATGCCTAACAACACTGAAAATGTCACTTCTTTTTTAAATTTTTGAACGAGCCTTTGCCGGCCCGAAAATCTTCAAATTCTGTGCCTGAAGAACCAGGTTGATCTGTCTTTAAATGTTCGTAAATCTCCCTGGCTCTTTCACAAATGAATTCAGTAGAAACTGAATCACCTTTCATCTGTTTTTCCCTAATCCAGATGAGAAGTAACCTCTCAGTTTCTGCAATTAGGGATCTACTTTTAAACACTCTTGTAGATTTGTCTCTCACTTTCACTTTTTTAAATTTCTTTCTGTGCAAGAATTGTCGACACATTTGATGTTGACATGCCATATTCTTTTGCATAGCGCATTTGTTCTAATGCCTTGTTCATGTTTTTTTTATGATTTCCTGCTTGGTTTGGATTGAAATTGCTTTTCTTGATCTCTTAGGCCCCATGCTGGATTCAAACAATGTCAACACGTGCTTTTCAAAGTTAAACTTGTTGTAAATAAAGAATATTTTCTTTAAAATAACACTGCACTGCGCTATATATCGTCAATATGTAAAATATATTTCAAAATGACCAATAATTTGCTTGGAAACACCGCCCGCTCCCGCTACCTCACACACACACACACGCATAGCTCACTCAGTCAGACTCGCTGTAACCACGCTTGTGTTGACATCAGCATTGTAGTTGCAAAAATATTACATTTCCGTGAATGTATTATATCAAGCACAGTATGAATAGAATATCACTAATATAACAGTATTTTAACTGAAAACTATTAAAAAAACGAGTAACATATCTTGAACATCGGAAGGTTAGGTAAAGTCTTTTGTTTTTATGTAGTTTATCCTAATTTACATTGAAATACATTACGTTTCAGCAAAACTAGTATTTATTTACGAGAATATGGAAATGAAATATTTTTGCTGAAATGACATACATATTACAGCGGAAAGTGACGAAAGATATGACTTTCGCTTTCTTTCGTTCAAAAGATGTTACCGTAATCGCTTTTCGAATGGTTTTCAGGTAAAAAACTGTTGTATTACAATAATATTCTATCCTAATTCACTTGTGATGCAACAGTTTTTTTTAACTGAAAACCATTCGAAAAGCGATTACGGTAGCATCTTTTGAACGAAAGAGAGCGAAAGTCATTGTTTTCGTACCGATTTTATCTCACTTTCCACTGTAATACGTACGTCATTTCAGCAAAAATATTACATTTCCGTGAATGTAGTATATCAAGCACAGTATGAATAGAATATCATTGTAATATAACATTTTTTTAACCGAAAACTGTTAAAAAAACGAGTAACATCTCTTGAACATCGGAAAGTTAGGTAAAGTCTTTTGTTTTCGTCATGAATTTTATCCTATTTTACATTGAAATGCACCGCGTTTCAGCAAAACTACTATTTATTTCTGAGAATATATTCATTCAGGTGCAGTTTAGGTAAAATATACATGTGATGAAACATTTTTTTAACTGAAAACGATTAAAAAAACACGTACCCTCTAGCCCTGTTCAAGGAGAAGACTGGGAGGAGCTGTTTGGTGCTGAAGACGATAACAAGGAAAATGATTTTGATGGATTTTAATGAAAATATTCAGAAATATGGTATCGTAGTATTTATTCAAGTGAATTAGGATAGAATATTATTGTAATACAACAGTAGTGACGATGTGGAGGAGGCGGAGGGATAGAGTGGGAAGGAGTGGTGACTGGCGAGAGAAGGGACGAGTGGAGATGCCAGCCAGTACATTACGGGTGTACAGTATTAATTGTTTTTATAGCTCTTTTTGCATTTTAATATTAAATACTGTACATTACGTTTCAACAAAACTACTATTTATTTCTGAGAATATGGAAATGTAATATTTTTGCTGAAATGACGTGCGTATTACAGTGGAAAGTGGGATAAAATTGTGACGAAAGCAATGACTTTTGCTTTATTTCGTTCAAAAGATGTTACCGTAATCGCTTTTCGAATGGTTTTCAGTTGTGGGATTATGAGTCTAATGATAGGATAGAATATTATTGTAATACAGTACGGTACAGCAGTTTTTTAACTGAAAACCATTCGAAAAGCGATTACGGTAAAATCCTTTGAACAACGAAAGAAAGCGAAAGTCATTGTTTTCGTCATGATTTTATCCCACTTTCCACTGAAATGTGTACGTCAATTCAGCCAAAATATTACATTTCCATATTTATTTCTGAGAATATATTCATTCAGTCACAGTTAAGGTAAAATATACTTGTGATGAAATATTTTAATGAAAATACGGTATCGTAGTTTTCTTTTGTTTCAAATTTAATTAACAAAGATTGATGTTTCAAATGTAATGAACAAAAATTTATGTACAGTATCTATAACTATACTTTAAAAAATGAATACTTTGTTTTACATCGTCCTGTGCATACCATACCATGCATTTGGCTACTTTGGGCTTGCTATGATGACGCAAGAGATCTGCCCTGGCAACTGTACCGACACTCACAGCTGGTGGTGTGTTGGTGCGTCGTTTCCATTGTTTACTGGTAGTTACTGGTAAATATTTTTCAACCTAACGAAACTATTACCCGTTTAGTTGTTGACCCCCAATTTTTTGCCAAATAATTTGGTCTTAAAAACTCGAACTACACACAGGTATATACAGTAAATAAGGACATGGGGGGGCCAGGGGTTTTTTAGGGGGGGGGCAGCAAAAATACACGGATTTTTAACATTCACGGGTATCTCTGTTACCTAACCCCCGCGTATGTTAAGGGCCGACTGTACACATAAATTACAGTGGAATTGAAAAACTTAAGTATAATGGGGGAGCAGTACAACCTGGGTTGCACAGTAATAAGGTTGAACAAGAGGACAGAGCTGTCAGGATTATGTCTAGTTGGCAATTATGTTTATTGCAATGGTAATTTCTCATTTATTTACATGATAATTTCCGATAAAACGGTTTTGATGGTACAATAAAAACAGGTACTGTAAATATAGTAAGTGTTACAAGAAATATTAATACTTCGACAATAGATATTTTTTAAGAGATGATTTAAAGGAAGGGAGTGTAGTCTTTGCTCGGATGTGTGGGGGTAAGTTGTTCCACACCTTCGCACCATGATATTTTATGGAGATCTGGGACTGAGAGGAGCTCATGGGGGGTGGTCTTAGTAGCTCTGGGTGCCTTAAGTTGTATCTCTGATTATTCCGGAACTGGAAATAATTATTGTCAAGCAAGTTATTGATAGATTTGTAAACAAAGAGGGGACAGCAGTAAGTGTTAATATCCTCGAATTTTAAAAATTTCAATATAGCAAATTTTTCGATTGTGTGATCTGTTTTTTTTTCAAGTAGGTCATTTTCCGTACAACTCTCTTTTGTGCAGTAACCAGAGATTGTGTTTTTGAAGAGCCAGAGGTCCCCCATAGTGTGTGACAGTGTATCAGGTGTTGATAAACAAGATCATGATAGATTTCTTTCATTGCTGTGAGAGTGAGTGACTGTCGAGTGTGATACATGATACTGCACTGTTTATTGATTTTACTGTGAATGGCTTGGATGTGATCCTCCAGTTAAGTTTCTCATCTACAATAAAGTCGAGGAATTTAGTAATTTGTTCGCGTTTGAGGACTGTATTACCAAGGTACAGGGGGTCCAAGTTTGGGGGTAAGTTTTTCCTTCTGTGAAAGATCGTGTAGTGGGTTTTCTCAAGGTTTAAGGTCAGTTTATTACGTATTACCCAGGGCCCGACTTTAGTTAATTCGGTGTTCATAGTTCTCATCAAGGAATGGAGGTCTGAGTTGCTGGCATAGAGATTACTATCATCTGCAAATAAGTTGTATTTTATGAGTGAGCTGGCGTGGACTAAGTCGTTCATGTACAACAAAAACAGTACTGGACCGAGAATGGAACCTTGGGGGACTCCATACTAGATTGGCGAGGAGTCAGTTTGGTGGTTATTATAGCAGACATACTGCATCCTGTTGGACAGATATGAGGTAAACCAATTGTGGGACAGGCCCTAATGCTGTAATGTTCAAGCTTTGAAAGGAGGATGGTATGGTCGACAGTATCGAAGGCTTTAGAGAGGTCCAAGAATATACCGACTGTGAACTGACTGTCATCAAAGGAATTTAAGATGTCATTAGTAAAGGATAGCAGACCACTCTCGGTCGACCTTCTAGCTCTAAAACCAAACTAGGAGTCTGTAAAGATGTTATTGGCATTGCAGAAGGAATTTAGTCTATTACATGCTAGCTTTTCCAGTATCTTACTCAAGGCTGGGAGGACTGATATGGGACGGTAATTCTTGAAGAGACCTTTGTCCCCAGATTTTTTATATGCCGGGTGGACTTTATCCTTTTCACCACTGATCGTCTCTTTAGCCGCTTGGGTGATCGGTTACATCTCTGTTATGCACTGTTGGCAAATACTGGGCATACACTGGGGACAAAGGTTCCCAGCGTTATGAAAGATTGCACATGGTTGGTGTGTGGGTGGGAGACTGAGGTGACATGGCAAGACACTTACACAGCACACACATTAACAGCACTACTAAACGATTGTCTTATAACATTTGATTTTATAATTTCTATTTTAAAATTAATTTAAACATGATGGCTTGATTTGGTTACTTTTGTACTTAATACAACTGATAAGTGAATAAACCAGAGCATATGGAGACTCATTATTAGTGATGTCACGAAGCTTCTCACCTGCAACCACAACCTGTACTCAAATGTACTAAGTTAATTACTAGAAATATTTATGCCTAGTGCAAACTATGGGATGTTTATACTCAAATTAATTGCCATCTTAAAAAATTCCAGCAATACAAGTTATATTCTGCTAAGTCACGTCGGTGACATTTTATAAGGGAAAAACTTAAACTCCTTTTCTTTTATAATCCCGAGTCCTTCCTGACCCCTCCACTGATAACTACACTCGGTTCCTGGCTGTCAACACCCCACCTCCCACTTCCCCCTCCCCCCAGCCAGCAGGGGAGGCAGATGGTGGTGGGTGATAATGATTAATAGGATGAAGGTGATTTTAGGCTTAAAGTTTTTCTCTTATAAAATGTCACAGACTTGACTTAGCAGAATATAACTTGCATTGCTGGAATCCTTGCAAGATAGCGATTACTTTGAGTATAAATATCTCATAGTTTGCACAAGAAATGAAAAGTTTAGTCCTTTAGCTTCGTACATTTGAGTACAAAGTGAGTACATACAGTAATATGTTGCTTAAAATTATGGTTTTTTCACAGGGAAAAGTCTGCATAACTAGTTCCAGCGGTCAGGATATGATGGCATTGAATGTTACAGTGTATTTAAAATAAATTCTTTGTTTAGTTCTGTACATAGACTGGTGGTGGAGGAGGGATGGAGACCTTTAGTGCTAGAAACTGACCATTCACCCCCTCCTGCCTCTCATTCTTATTGTAACTTGACAAAATATTGTTTATTCTTTATTTATTAATTAGTAAGAAAATGCACCTGATTTTCAACTTCAGAATTTGTTCCCAAACCCAGAATTGAGATTTTTTTCTGAAAAATTCCGAGCTAACGGAGATATTACTTATGTGTTTTACAACTTTTTAAAAATAATTTACAGCAGATATCAAGTTCCATTTTGTCTTACCCAGACAGACATACCCAAAGACAGCGACATGATCGAGACGTTTTCCTGCACAAAAACCATGAGACAACGATATAAGCTGGCACTATTACGGCCATCAATTAAGCCTCTGACTATAGCCCAGAAGGTCTTGCTACGTACAGACGAACGGGGTATTCTCTGTCTTCAGTTTATGGTTAAGATGGAGGATAATCACATCTGCTTTGTGGAGTTTTTTGTAAGTTTTTGGGTTTCAGCATTTTTTGTTAAGCTTAGAGAAATAGTGTTGGTTCCTGAGTAGTGAGTGTTTATTGTTTAGCGCTCACCATAGATAAATTTTCTTAAATGTTAAGTATGTATGTCGTTCTTTTGTTTACATAATGCGCTAAAACTGTTGAAATATTGGTGCTAAACCAAGATTAATACCATAGTCGAACACATTTGTTGCAGCAGTGAGCCTGATTGATTTAATAATGATAAATGAGTAGATAGATAGATAGATAGATAAAGAGAGAGAGGTAGATATATAGAGAGAGAGATAGATAGATAGATACTGTATAATAACAGTTCGTATCTCTGTCATTCACAGTGTTGCCCGGAAGAGGAGGAGGAAATCGAGTAACATGTGATACTGTTTTGGAGTATTTACCAACATCTTATTATTTTACTGTAATAGTAATGCAAATAATGATAATGAAAATGAAGATGAACAAATACAACATCAAGTAAGTTATTAAAAAAAATAATGAAACAATAAATGAGTTTTATTATACAATTAGATGACATAAAATAAGCATCTCTTCATCTCCTTTATCGTCAAAACATTCACTTATGACAGAATGCTGCTCTTACAATCTGTCTCACTTTAAAAAGCTGGTTTTCCGGCATCTTCGTGTTGCAGATTAATACAGTATAACCTTTTTTTCTGTATTTACAATTTCTTTCCGTTTTTTTTTTCGGCCCCCCGGTTCCGTTGTGGGTCGTTTGACCTGTGCCCGGGTGGGCTAATTCCCGTAAAAAAAAAAAAAAATTGTAACCCATTTTAAATTCATTATTGTTGACAAATAAGATGAAATCAACAAGTAATAACGCTAAATAAGGTTTATTAAAATGAAAGAAGGCATCATATTTTCTTAGGTCGATTAGTCACCAACACCCAAATATAGTTTTCACTCTACCTACTTCACTGATACACCGAACCATGATGGGAAATTTAAATTATTTTTTATTATAAATTTTTGACTCGCAATAATAATAACGGGAAGGTTGGTGATGTTCATGGTATTACTTGTAACATTAGATAGGTTTTGTTTGGTTCACTTTTACTTTCTCTGGCGATAAATTTACTGGTCCAGAGCCGTAGATAGAGAGAGTTTGGTCAATTCTGTGACATGCTGGTACCATGCTAATGGTAATCTAATCTAACCTAATCTGTAGCCAAATCTCCTCATGATAAAGCCAATCTCTTTAGCACCTTAGTCTCCTCTAACTCCACCTTAGATGATTCCAACTCTATCCCTCCTACTCCTGCTCCTCCGACTGAACCTATGCACTTTCCTATAAACTCCACTCGCAGGGTTGCTGGTGTGTTGTCCAGGTTAGATGTGAGTAAGGCGCATGGACCGGACGGAATACCCCCTCGTGTTTTGAGGGAGTTTGCTGAAATTCTAGCCCCTGTGCTTGCTTGCCTCTTTTGCCTTTGCCTCAAAACCCAAACTTTTCCTTTTTCTTGGAAGCGTGCCTCGGTTCTGCCCATCCCGGAGAAGAGTGACCATTCCAATCTCTCTAACTATCGCCCCATTGCCCTAACTTCATCCCTCTAAGATTTTGGAAACTATCTATCTAAAACTCCAATTTTCTCCGTCACCTTGAAAGCTTTTCTCTTTTGTCAGATCACCAGTATGGCTTTCGCCAGGCGAGATCTACTGGTGATCTGCTCTCCTACTACACCCATCTTTGTTCATCCTCTCTTGGGTATTTTGGGGAAACTTTCACCGTGGCCCTCGACATCTCCAAAGCATTTGACAGGGTATGGCACAAGTTTTTGCTTTCTAAACTACCCTCTTATGGTTTCTCTCCCCCACTTTGTTCTCTAATTTCTAGCTTCCTTGAAAACCAATCCATGGCATTTGTTGTCGAGGGATTGACCTCTTGCTCTTTCTCTACCAATAGTGGTTTCCCACAGAGTTCTGTTCTTTCACCTACTCTCTTCCTTCTGTTTATCAATGATTTACTTCACACTACGACAAATTCTATCCATTCTTATGCTGATGATTCTACTCTTCTCTCTTCTTCACATTTTTCCTTTCTCCTTAATTCTCAAACTAGATCTGTTTCTAGAGCTGATATCATTTCATCTATCAATGTGGATCTGTGCAGCATTTCGGAATGGGGAGGTAGAAAACTTATTAAATTCAATAGTCATAAAACTTAGTATTTACCAATTACACTTTCCAAATTAGATGATCTCCCACCAATCACATTTCAGGATACAATCATTCTGCCAAGTTCTAAAATAGATATGCTAGGTCTCACCATTTCCTCTAATATGTCATGGAAGTCACACATCCACAACATTGCTAAAGCTGCCTCCCGAAAGATGGGAATGCTATACAGATGCCGTAGCTACTTCACTCCTGACCAGTTGCTTCAAATTTATAAGGGATTCATTCGTCCTAACTTAGAGTACTGCTCTCATATTTGGGGTGATTTCTTCTGTCCAACTGTTAGATAGGATGGAATCAAAGGCATTTCCTCTTGTTGACTCTCCTCCTTTAGTTGATAATCTTTCTTCCCTTTCTCTTCACTGCAATGTTGCTTCACTCTCTATCTTTTACAGGTACTTTAACGGTCATTGTGCTGTGGATTTGGCATCCTGTGTACCGCCGGCAAGGCCATGGGCTTGTAACACTCATTTTGCTTGCTGTGCCCACCATTTCTGTGTGGATGTCGGTCACACTAGAATAACCTGTTATAGTACATCCTTCTTTCCTCACACAGCCAAACTATGGGATGCTCTGCCTTCTGTATTTCCATATGCATACAATCTGTCTCACTTTAAAAAGCTGGTTTTCTGGCATCTTCGTGGTGTAGATTAATATAATCTTTTTCTTTTCTATTTTTAATTTCTTTTTACTCTTTTCTTTTCACCCCCTAGGCCCCGTTGTGAGTCGATGACCTGTACCCAGGTGGGCTATTCCCTGTAAAAAAAAAAGTACGGTATATAAAGCATGTAGGCTTTGGGAATACACTACTGTATACAGTTTTCTGTGTACCTGGACAGTGCAGGTAAACAACAGATGCTTATTTCTAGGAGAGTCCTTTGCTTCAAGGACTAAAAACACTGTTGCTTTGCTTTAGCTTGGTCTCTAATCAGACTAATAATATATTATACAGAAGTAACAATAATTTTTTTATAATTTCAACAAGCATTACATTGCACTTAGACTATCTGAGGCTGGCGGGTTACTTCAACCATTCAAAATTTAATGGTTAATAATATAGAAACCCACTCTTGTGTTATTTGATACCATTAGGAGTTCTATGTGATCAGATAACTCAGTCTGCTACAGCTGTAAAGAATAACTTGTTTTTCGCTTGACCATGGATAATAGGTCGTACCAAGGAAGGCTAGAACACCTTCAATTGCCTAGTTTATACTAAAGAAGGGTAAGAAGCAACTCAGAAGACTATATACTGTATTTGGCGTTTGCAGATGACCGCCACACTAAGAGGTCACAGCCTCAAGTATAAGATGCTATGATCAGTAAAGAAAACTGGCAGAGCAGTGGCATATATGGGGAGGGGGGGGGGGGCACTGGGCCATAGTCCCCCCCCCTTTTCTCACCACTACTACTCCTTTGCAACTTCTTTCCGAATTGTTTGTCCACAAAGATATGGAACTGAATTGCGATGAGGTCATCAATGAATTTGGTCGTAAGAGCAGATTACTTGACTTTGGACTTCACAAGTAAGCTGATGCTCTCTCTCTCTCCAAAAGTAAGCTAGTACTGCTCTCTCATCACAAGTAAGCTAGTACAGTACTCTCTATCTATCTATCTGTCTGTCTGTCTCTATCTATCCTTCTATCTATCTATTAACTCCATTGCCAAGTACAGTACTTAATTTTGCAACAATCCTAGAGGAGAAAAATGTGTTTTCTTTTAACATGTACAGGATTGTACTGTATTGTAGTATGTATATTTTTTGTTAAACTACTTTTGTGTTCTATGGATACAATTTTTTGTAACTACACTATATAATTTGTTTTATAACAGTTTCCAAAAAGGGACAGTCAAAAAGTTTTGATAATTGGGTACAGTATATGCAGTAGTAAAAAGGCAGAAACACATTTTTAATTTTTTTTTTAAATATAGTTTATCCTGAATTTAACCCCCATCTACCCCACTTGTCCTTCAAAATCGTATCATAGTCTTTTACTCAAACATGGCTCGGCAACCTCTTTCAACTCTTCATCCTTGGAGACGGGACTTAAGGTTTCGAACAGAGGATAGTCCCTTGGAGTCATACATGGGCTGTAAGGTTGAGGTTCGCGAAACCACAGTCCTGAATCTGCCGTCACCAGGCAGGAAAAAAACCATTTGGTTAGATCAGGTTCGTACAGTTCAAGGAGCTCGTGATTTGAGGCTACCCTTTGGTGTCGATCCTGAGGGCTGAAGTTCTGGAGAACTCATTTTGTAGAAACCTTAAACTTCCTTAGATGTTCATTGATGATGGTCACGTACTGTGCATGCTAACCGTAATTTAAGGTTATGAAGTCGCCATTGATGTACCAGTCCATCATAATCCAGTTCTTGACTCGGGATACAGTTGCCTAATCGGTTGCACTGCTGTTGCATCTAAAAGTTGATTGGGGTCACCACTTGTGCCATCGTTCTGAACGGGCTCACCTTGTTAGAGTCGGTAGCCTAGTGAGCAGTTTTCGGTTTAGTGGGGAGGGATACCCGTATCTAAATTTTCCGACAAATGGGCATGGCAGATATACACGTTTACCAGTTATCTATCTCACGAAGCATAACAATTTACAGTCAGGAGAAAGAATCAACTGAGAACACATACTTGATAATAGTGCACCTGCATCAATAGTGTTATCGAAAAAACAGAACAATTATAATGCCAATAAATGAAGAAAAAAAACGATTCACTGGGGAAAACCCACAATGCATGAAGTGTAAAAAATGAACTTAACAATTAGGAACATTATCTATTATACTGCCAAAAATATTGGAATAAAAACAAATGAAAATAACATGGCTACAACAACCATATATTGAAAACATAAGAAATAATTGAAAATATACCTCTCAGTGCAAATGAAAATGAGAAAGAAAAATCGGATCACCTGTAGATTCTCTCAGCTCATCTCGCCTAAAAATTAACCCCCCTAACACTACCTAGGTTAGATTGGTTAATCTTTAGGTGAAATAAGCTAGAGGGAGGGGGGAATCTAAAGGTGATCCGAAAAGACAAAATGAGCTTTATTCAAATTTAGGAAAATAAGGAGCAATAAACTAAACAAAAAGAACTTAAATGTACGAGTTGTCCAATGCTGATGATTAAGCATATCATTACTAATAACTTATAATGTACTGTATTAGAAAATTACTGTTCATTGTCCATATGACGATTTTGATACCATTCTGCTTCACAGGGTTGGTAAGCTGGATCATTACAGGCAGTAGATCTTAATCATACATCAGTTTTTACGACAAACTTCATTCTAAGG